TGAACTTGTTTAGTTATCTTACATTGCAATGTTATTGCCAACTTATTGGTAAATAACTGTATGTTTCAGTCACTCTAATCTCTCCTTCCTGTGTTCCTATGTAAAATAAAGCCCAATTCAATTTAATGTATTGGGTGGAGTTGGAGAGGTGCAAATCGTAATGGCCTTTAGTAGAAATAACATTATCAACAAACTATAAGTACACAAGTTTCTAAAACTGGCAAGAAGAGATAACTCCTCAACTTTTATACAAGATGGCTTGCACATTAACTAATAAATAGTTTAGAAAGCAGTAATATATTTCATGCAAATAACTTTTGAGTAAACTAGTGAATTCATTTACTGTACTGATTCAGCTGCATACTGTTCACATTACATTACAGCCATTGGGTAAGCAGCTTAAAGTAGCTAAGTCTCTAACTCAATATCATCCAAAGTCTTCGACATTGAAAACACAAATTATTTGTCTATTTAAATCAGCATTGATGTTGTGATCTTACCGGGAAAAGGTAGGCTTCTGATAACAAATATTTAAGACAAAATAAACATTTTACCATTGGTACACGAATCATGTACCATAGTTCGTTTCAGCGACATTTGTAACAAGTGACCAGAAAGAACGAGGCTAGACATATTCCACATCTCATGTCAAAAGATCACGCCATATCTTATCTGGAGAGCATTTGCAATAGACTGGAATAATCAGACGCTAGAAATTGCCATTCGGTTGTGACTCATGCCGTATGTACCATAGTTCGTTTCAGCGACATTTGTAACAAGTGACCAGAAAGAACGAGGCTAGACATATTCCACATCTCATGTCAAAAGATCATGCCATATCTTATCTGGAGAGCATTTGCAATAGACTGGAATAATCAGACGCTAGAAATTGCCATTCGGTTGTGACTCATGCCGTATTTCGCTGGACGTAACTGATTTGAAATTAGAGTCAAAATGGAGACAATTGAATGTAAATCAGTTTATATACAATCAGATTACATTATTATATGCGTTGCGACCCATTTGGGTCAATTTCTAGGTCCCAAATATTAGCGATTTAGCTCCTTTAAGCTTTGATATTTATCTGAGCTCGCTAAGCAGCAAAAAGATTTATGAAAGAAGGAGAAACATTAGGTAGGAGGCTACAAGAATAAATATTTTATCCCTCCCATGCAATTGTTTATATCAGATGTGCAATTGTTTTGAATGTAGATGAATGAAACTTATCAAATGCCATTATGTGCCAAAACAACATGAATCCAAATTGTTTTTAAAGTTACATCATAGTGTGGTAGTCTATTGGTCATGCCATGGATTCTGGACTAAATTGTCTATGATTTGTGTCACAGCGTGGACCGAGAACATTGAGGATTTTTCAAGCCCAGCCTTTACTCAATAGTAAGCAGGAGGACCACACTACATGCAAAACAAAACCAACAAGACAAACCAGCGGACAAGACAAACTACATAGACATTGCAAGGAATAAATAACAAATATCAAATCAAGGGAATCGATCTGGGGGCCAAAAGTAAGCGTCCAATATGGGTGACACATGCAAGGCTGACAAGGAAAGTATGCCTAGTTGTTAGGATGGGACCAAAAACCGAGGTCCACTCGTGTACACATTAACAGTTGCTGTCTGGGCAAAATTCTCCCACCTCCTACGAGTAAACATAGAAATAAAACCAACCCAAAAATTATGTCAATGAGATGTTAGTCATTAAACCACATTCCATTCCGTTATATTTGTCAGGAAATTTTTTGATGGAATTTAACTTCTGGATATAGATATATTCATTTTTCTAAAAGTTCATTTGATGTTTATAATATTAATATGGAAGAAAGTTAATAATTTATTTGGATACGTTTCGAAGAGTATTCCTAATGTTTTGAAGCAATATAGACTTCTGATTTAATCATTTTTTTAGATATGCAGAGCAAATTTAATATCTGAAAATTCCTTGGTTTTGTATCGAACCGAACTAAAGTACATGTATATTGAACTTTGTACTACATGTATACACCTGGTGGGAGACTGAATGTATTAAATGTGAGAGTGAGAGTGATTGGAGAAAAACACAACACACTTGGAGTGAAGCAGACTACCTAACTGGCACTATGCCAGTCTTCTCACTAACATATTTGGTCACGGATCCACATTGTTTTTATTCGTTATGCAGAGATTAGAGGGAAGCGTTTGAGCACGTGTAATATGCGTATTGGATAAGTGTGTTGGAAGTGATTGAGAGATTAGGCTTTAGACATGTTGTCATGTGGATTAAGGATGACAGTTAGGTCATTGCCAGTATCAGGTATGTTAGTATCTTGTAAGATGTGTGTTTAGACGTAGATAGATGGTTTGTCTGTAAGTTATGTAGGATGCTTACAGTATTAGTATTGAACTTGGTGACTTTCACAGACATATTTTAACTCCGTAATTCAATGTATTTTAACACTCTTGACAATCTGTGTATTTTATTACTAAAAGAAAGTATGTGTTTGTTATATGGGAACTCCAGACAGTTATTAATATAACGTTTACTGGTCAACATTCCATGCCATACATGTACATGATTAATCAGCTTCACATGGCTTCCATAGTTTACATACAAATCTTCTTTAAATCAAAACAATAAGATCAAAGGTATGAAATTTGATAAATATTTATTTATTAGTAAAGATTTTATACTTATGAGTTTCTTTTTACAAATTTATGTTTTAAAAGTCAAATAGAATGATTTTTTTCAAGCATTTATTTTCATATTGCAATCAATCTCATTTAAATAACATAAATTTGATCAATTTTAGTTGAATTTAGCCCTTTTAATGACGTTGATCACACAATTTTAGTGGAATTGAGCTATTTTAATTACATAATCAGAATTTTTTTTATTTGAATTTAGTCAATTTAATTACATAAATAAATTTTAGTTCAGTTTAGCCATTTTAATGACGTAAATCACACAAATTTTATTTGAATATGGTTATTACATAAATTAGATAACTTTTAGTTGATTTTAGATATTTTTTTTAATTACACAGTCAACATATTGGATTACATTTTTATGAACTTCTCTTAAAAATTTGACAAAAAGAAATCTTACTAGAAATTGAAAGTCAACAAATTGCTTAAAATAGGTATAGAATTGTAACAATATGTAAGCATATTGCATGTTAAAGGTTAGAGTATGTTAGGAACACATACCAATGGCACTGAATCAGATGTACCCAACAATATTCAAAACATATGTTTCATTTGCATGACTGCTCTGAGATCTGTCATTATGTAAACAATAATATATGTATTCACATCTTAAGATATTGTAATTTTATTATGAAATAATGAATACAACAGATGGATTTATGTACTCAATTGTATTTATATATTTTCGTAGATAAAATTGTTTGCCATGTTTTCTTAGTAATACTATGAGCAATAAAATGTCATTGTTAATTGCTATAATGAGTCATCATATTACACAGTATGCTATTAAGAAATATTTTTTATCTCTGGTTGAGGATTTTTTAAAGTTTCCGAATTTCTCATTTTGATTTGGCAAGCAGGTCCTTTTAAACTTTCATTCAGCTGGTTAGAAATTTCTTGGTAAACTTTATCATCTGAACAAATAGGTGGGGAAAAGAAACCCAAATAATAATTTATTAGCTCTGTAAGCTACTCAAATAAGAAGTGATATCAGGTGTTCTAAACGAATGAAATAAAATGGGGTTTAACATCCTACTGTTCTGCTCCTATACTGGGCTAATGAAGACGGGCATACGCCATACAGTGTGCTATGAGGAGAAAGTTTGCCCGGGCAGCGGCACTATCGCCTACTCTTATATCGAATTCCAACTGCCAAGGGATCTTTTACATGCATTCCAATGTATACACGGGGCCTTGGTTTTCCGTCTCATCCAAAGGACTAGACAGCTGTCCTTTTCGGGCCCTCCGTTCTGCACTTCTAAACAAGTATGCATATACTGTTAAAGCATGACACCCATCACTACTTATAGTTACCAGCAAATGAAGTGGTAATTTAAATGAGTATATCAGAAGATAATGATTCTGGATAGAAGATAAAATCGGAACAAAAGCACACACCAGCCAAGACTTTATCTTACTTCTGATGGCTGCCAGAGTTTGCTCAAAATCAACCCATTTGTTTAAACATATCTGGCATGGATTATAACTAAGGAATTTTTATGAAGTCTGTAATAAAGCAAACACAGAATTAACTTGGCTAAATTAAAATCATAAATAACCACCAGTATGCTGACATTTTTGGCAGCAGTAACTGTTTAGATTAAGTGGTTAATGGGTTAATGTTGAAAAAATAGGTGAGAGGATAATATGTGTTAATAGGTTATGATAACCATAGATCAATGTACCATAAAATAGTTCCAATCAATATAAGTGTAATGATGGAATGGTACCGAAACATGCTAGTATTAATAGCATGTTAGGTGTGCCAAATGATCTCATTATAATCCGATTATTGGCATGGACATGTAGTATATTCCTGATCCAAACAATTAATCTACGCAGAAGGTGTGTTGTTGAAAATAAACATAATGGCTTAACCAATCTTTGTTAAACTAGATCTGTAGGTGTCTGGTATTTGGATGTAGATGTTATGTGTTTTTGCGATGATGCAGTGTTTACATTTGTATTATATTAGAGGCAGTGTACTATGAATAGATGGATAGATAGATAACGATGTGTTTGTTAATGGCAACTTGTAATTTTGTGTGACGACATCTGGTACATTATTAACTGAAGGCATATCTTCCCATATAAAACATATCTACCTACGTAAAATTGGTGCACTTGTGTGCAGTGTCATAAGTCTACATTGAAATTCAACAGACGCATCATTTGATTTAGAAGTCGTGGGAATTCTCCACGCAGACTTAACCATACATATAGTACATGTACTTACATGGTCGTCAACAAAAATTGAGATGTTAATATTCATTTCAAATAACTATTATTTTACAGAAGCTGTTGAGGAAGAAACAATTGAAGCTGCCGAAGCTGAAAATAATAAGCATATAGATGGCGCAGCAGCTATCGCTATGGTAACTAGTAATGGTGGACCTGAAGCTCGGGAAATCCCTAAAATTAATGAAAATGATGTTAAAGTTTCTATAAAAGCACCTGATAATTCTCTGCCTGTATCATCATCATCGTTAACTACACAAGCAGAAATAACAGTCACTAGTATTAATACCACAGGTAAGTTAAATATTTATATAATTCCTCGACAATCAGTTACAGATAAATATAGGCAGCTAGAAGGGATAACAAATTGGAAATTTCACTCAACTCATCTAAATAGGAAGAAGTCAATAATCAGAATAAAAATACCCTTCAGGTCTCTTTACTGAGAATATCATTATTATATTTAAATGTTAAAACTGCTACTGTACTCAAATAAAACAAATAATACATTTATACGAGAAGCTATTTCTTATAAAGTTTAAGTTTTGTCTTGTTCTTCCATTGTTTTGTCTGGCATCTGTTGGCTGTTTTAGTGGACCGAATCTATTAAGTACTGCATGTATTTTAAGATTTGTATCAAGTTATTCTTTGACTTTTATTCCAGTATTCTTAAAATTTTAAGAACAAAATCATTAATGCAAAATTATCAGTAGGACATCTAATATTGTCTGTATTTATTTCCTTTGACAATCGCGATCTTAAGTACACAATGATTGATTAGAAAATATATACAACCTTTGACGGTAACACACACTAATATTTTAATGCTTGTTGACAGTTTGTAATAATTAACAATATTAATTTATTTTGGGCTTATTATGCAATTAGTTTTTATAATTCTATTTTTCCTGGACATTAGAAATATAATACTTTCAAATAAAAATAGGTTGTGTGGGTCAAACAGATGACCTAATTATGCTTGTAGGAACAAATCTTTGAAAATGTATTTCAGCTTGTAGGAATAAATCTTTGAAAATGTATTTCTCTAATATTTTACAGTATCATCAGCTCATGTAAGGCCTGTCATATTTCATCCTGTGGTGCCTCCTTCTGCAGAACCTCCACCTCCTGCGCCATTAGTGGAATTATCCTCGCCATCATCAGTGACAGTTTCACCTAATATACCACAACCAGAACAGACCACTGTTAGATGGGGTCATGTTGAAACTGTAGCAGAAACCACATTACCAGCTAATGATGGTAGGTTTAAAAACTGTACCATTTATCATTAAGATTTCTAAAAACTGTACCATTTATCATTATGATTTCTAAAGCTCTAGTATTTATCATTAAGATTTCTAAAACTGTACCATGTATCATTAAGATTTCTAAAAACTGTACCATTTATCATTAAGATTTCTAAAACTGTACCATTTATTATTTAGATTTCTAAAAACTGTACCATTTATCATTAAGATTTCTAAAACTGTACCATTTATCATTAAGATTTCTAAAACTGTACCATTTATCATTAAGATTTCTAAAGCTCTAGTATTTATCATGAAGATTTGTAAAACTGTAGTATTTATCATTAAGATTTCTAAAGCTCTAGTATTTATCATGAAGATTTCTAAAGATTTCAATTAAAGAATACATTTGCCACAAACACAGAAACTTGTTAAACTGTTAAACAAAAGCTGAAGGATTGTTCTTTACATATAGTTTATTGTGTATTAAACCTTTTATCATCCCAAAATTTAGAGAGGAGATTAAGTACTCACCATTGGTGATTCATACTTAGCCTCAATAAACAGGGTCTAGGGTTTGTGGGCCAAATTGTGCTTGCAAGCCATCACCTCATCAGTCCAGATTAGGCATTACTTTATTCTACTTTTACACAGGAGCACCACCTTTAGAAGAACTTTATGAATGGTCCTTAACAGCACTATTGAACACTGTATCACAAAAGGTACAAACAATCAAGGAAATGGAGGCATTAAAAAAAAAATGTTCAATCGCTCATCTATCTCCAACCTACGCGAGATGAGCCTAGGAAAACTTGTCTGCGATACATCCCCCTTGGTAAAAGCGGGCATGAAGCAACACAAATGATGAATGTTCTAAAGTTTCTAGGCCTTCCTTGGCAAACATGTATAACAAACTGGGAAAGGTTTGATATTTTGGACTCTATTTGAAACTGAATGTTTATACATGTATGTGGAATTAAATTGTATGTATTATTATTTTAGGCTACAATGATGGTACAGGAGATTATGACGATCCCATGGCTTACATCATTGCTGATCCTAACTCACCTTACGATGCCATACCAGCCAGTGAACCTGATCTCCGTAGTTTACCCAAGAAAAGTGCACTGAAGAAAAAATACCCAGACGGTGTTATGGCTTCGTTGACATCTAGTTTAACACGACCCATTGACACCTCTACTCTCAACCCTTCCCATGTGTCTTTCTCTGGCCGAGCCTCGCCACAGCCCACGGCGACTTTTCTTATACCTCAAAATAAAGTACAACTCAATCAGTAAGTTAAACAAATTATTAAATTTCAGTCGTTTTGATTTTTTTTTTCAGCCAGTTAAAATTCTACTAAGAATTGAGGGGAATCTTCAAGATGCTTCCCTAGTAACTGGTGAACTATCGAGTATCATTTGAACTGTTTTGATGTGGTATAAGGTTGATATTTCCAGTGTATGCATCTGTATGATAGGAAAATAAGAATATTTTCAAGTGGGGGGAGTCGCAGTGGCTCAGTGAGTAAGATGTTGGGTCGATAACCTGGAGATCCCATGTTCAATTCCAGTGTTTGCAGAGAAAGTCCATCGTGAAATTCGGGTGTGATTCACCATTGTCAGTGGTGCAGGATGATGGGCCTGGCAAGGTACAACATTTCGTCATTCGGATGGGATGAAAAACCGAGGTCCCTTGTACATATTGGCGTGCACTTAAAAGAACCCTTGGTAGTTGGAATTTGAAATAAGACTGGGTCGTAGTGTAGCTGTCCGAGTAAAATTTCCCTCATAAGACAATACATGACGAATGCCCATCTTCATTTCTCCAAGTAGGAAGGAATACGAGACTAGAATGAGATTTTATGTATTCTGAGATATGTGCATCATTCATTTAGTTATGGTGGAATTGTTTTTATGATAAAAATCTTGTTTTCTTGTAGCAATGAGGATAACAAGGAAAATATTCCTGAACGGACACCATCACCTGCCCCACCAGATACCTTTAATCCCCCAGATTATGATAATTTACAAAGTGATTCCGATTCTGAAGATGGTGAAATACATTATAAAGATGATGATGATAATGAAGAAAGTAAGTGTAGTTTAAACTTTATTACACCTTAAGGCAAGTTATGATCATTTAATTTGATTATACCGTTAGACGATATTAATTACTCTAGCATGCTTCATTTTATAAAATAAATGCAATTGCCGAACCTGTACATTAATTTCTTGCTGGCAATTAATTTTATATGTTACAGTATCCTCCATTGATGAATCTAGTAGTTTCCAGAATGTGTAGAGTTACTTATTGGAGATTCTTTGAATTAAACATTTATTTCCTATCTTTGTAGTGGAAATTAGAGTAGCAATTTATCATTAAAGGGAGATAATTTCTTAATGCCTGTAGAATCATGAATTCAATTTCTGTTGCCCATTAAACATCAAATTGAGTTCTGTGAATTATTATGCACACCTGAGAAAATAATAATTTTAAATTACATACATCAGTATTGATATAATGTTTCTATTAGTATATAAATAATTTTTTTCTTGAACATTTGTGCTGCTGCACATTCTACTGATCATAGTTCAGACAGTGCAGATGTGCATGCAATTAATTATTCATTGCTAATTGATATGCCATTCCTCTGAATAAGAAAACAATAATAAAAAGCGACCTATCCCAGTTGTAATGTGTACCGTAAATCTGATAAATACTATGTAACTTGTTATTTTGTAAACAGGTAGTTTGGCATCAAAAGTAGCCCGACAAGATAGCTTGGCCCGGTTTTTAAGCAACAGACCAACCCAAAAAGATTTAATAGAAAAAAATATCATTCCAAATCAGTCTGACAGGGAAAAACAAGAAAGTAAAGAAGCTATAGGAACTAAATTGACAAGGTAAGTTTTACGTTTGTTTATTTATTATGTGATATTTCATTGTAGGAATGGGGTGTGAACTTGATCCAGTTATTACTAATAGTAAGTACAAGAGGACAGAAAAACAGACAAACCCGTAGACAAGACACAAACTACACTGACATTGTAAGCAATAAATAAATAAATCTTAAATCAAATGAATAGATCCAGGCAGATGTTATTAATATATCAAATACATACATGGATCAGTCACTATAGATCAAGCCTGGTTCTTAATTATCGTGTGTAAATCCTGTAGGTCTGTCAAGTTGTGCATATAGCAGAAAAAATATCTTGGAATTCAAAGAAATGTGGGTGAGCAGGTCACTATCCAGACAAAGTTCTCCCCCTTGCATTACACACATAGCCATAGTAGTAAAATATATTATGATATTGTTAGACTCAAAATTACTTTGAAGTGCTGTCTTCACATGTACAAGAGGTTAATCCCCATTCCTTTAGTGCCTTTCCTAGATTATTTTTTGTGATTTCAGTCCATAAATAACATATTAATTATATCTGCCATCATCCCATATGATCTACACATCATAAAAAGGTGTAGTAGTAGTAGTAATATTATATTGCGTAAAATCTCACCTGATATAATTCTGCTGTCATCCCTTACGATCTTCGTATCATTAAAGGTGTTATAGTATTATTATATTGCGTAAAATCTCACCTAACGTAATATCTAGTGGTAATATATCACTCCATATAAAGACCTAACAGTGTGGGTGAGATCAGTGACATAGTTTTACAGGGATTGAAACCAGATTATCCAGTTTTACGACTTCATAAGGGAGATAATTTACATTACTCTATATATTTGATTTTATTTTGTAGGCGGTTAAGTTTACGTCCAACTCAGGAAGAGTTAGAACAAAAAAATATTCTCCACAGTAAGTGTATTATAATTAGGTGTTCTTTAATTAAATTAGTTAATCTTTTATAATTATGTTTTTTTAAGTAAATTATCTTATATTAACAGAAGTATCTTATATCTGGTGCTATATGATTTGATTTTAAATAAAAAATCTTGATAATATTGTTGTGGTAGTTTAATGAGGGTAATTAATTGTTTATTATTGTATTTTAGCTCAGTCAACAGAAGAAAGAATAATGACTAAAGAAGAAAAGAAAAGATTCTTAATTAGGAAGGTTGGTTTAGTTTATATAGTTTCAGCTTCCATATTTTACACAAAAGATCAAACAATTTATAGTAAATTATCTCTTTATAGTAATTGATGCACAGAGATGGGAATAGAAAGTGAAATAGCTTTGCTAATTGTCTTTATTTATATATTGTGTTAATTTTAGTTAAGTTTCCGACCAAGTGTAGAGGAATTAAAAGAGAAAAAGATTATTAAATTCAATGATTATATAGAAATGACAGATGCTCATGAATATGATAGGAGAGCTGATAAACCATGGACAAGATTAACTCCAAAAGATAAGGTAGGCTTCCATTGAATAATCTTAATTCGATGAAGATGTTTTGTTATCCAAAGGGGCAGTATATAGTGCTCACACAACGACTTAAATGATCACACTTGTATAGTTTTTCATGACATTATTTGATGTCTATTAAACTAATGGAATATAATCATATAAAATATTCAACTAATATTCCAAAATAAATGTACAGATATAAAAAAAATATTTGATGTCTATTAAACTAATGGAATATAATCATATAAAATATTCAACTAATATTCCAAAATAAATGTACAGATATAAAAAAAATATGTTGATTTGAAAGGGTCACAATTTCTGGAAATCAGAAATTGTATGAAAAGGATTACATGTACTTGAATAGTAATATCATTGTTTGATGTGACCACTAGGTAACATATTTGCATGATTTAAGATTATGTGTTTAGTCAGACCAACCATGGTCCAGTTTCCCAAAGCGCATATAAGCCTTGAACGTACATAAATGAAACTCTATTTAACGTAAGTGCTTCATGAAACGGGGTTGGATGCCGAATGGTTAGCATGTGCACGCTGTATCATAAGGTCTGCCATTGAGTCAACTGCCGTGGTTTCGATTCCCCGGTTGTACGTGGCAAGGAGAAGGGTCGCCTGTCCAATCTCGTGGGTTTTCTCCGGGTCCTCCGGTTTCCTCCCACCGCTAAAGACCCCTACGTGCAAACGAATTGTTGAAATAAAATTAGACCATGTGCTAGTCCCGAAATGACCTAGTTTATGTCGAGTGGATGCTAAACCCCATTTCTCTCTCTCTCGCTTCATGAAATGTGCTCCTAGTTTCAATGTATGAATAATAGAATGCTACTCTTATATCGAACATCTCATACCACTTCCCATTTAATTGGACGTTCGCATAGTTAATAATTGCTTTTGTACTTTTATAAATACAACCACAAACCTTTGTTATTTCAATTCTAATTCTAGTTTTGATAAATTGTCAAATTACATTTTATTAAATTATTATGTTTTTTGTTAAAATTTCAGGCTGTAATTAGAAAAGAATTAAATGAATTTAAAAGTAAAGAAATGGACGTTCATGATGATAGTAGACATTTAACAAGGTAGGTTGTACAATATTGAACATGTTTACTTGACTGCAGTAAAAAGAAAACTGTATTTGTAACTAGAATGCCCTTCACATGATTGGAGAATCTGTCCAACAATTTCTTTCCACACTATACTTTGTCTATAGTAATATAGTAACATGAAATGAAATGAAATGGTGTTTAAAGGGACAATAACACTCTTGCTGGGTTGACAGCTCCAGAAAATAAAAAATACCCTTATTCTAAGTACTAGATGTGTTAGTGTCCTACCTGTTGTGTAAATTATGCATTAAATCCTATTTTACTTGTCCAGAGGGTTCAAAAATATTTTTAAATCCAAGTAACATTTGAGAAGCTTTACGTCAGGCTTTTCAAATCATTTAGTTGAATTTTTTCCAATTTTTTAAATTAGGTGTTTTAAGATGGAATTTGTATCATCAATTAATTGAAATATTGTAAAATAGTACAATTTGTTGACCAGAATAAAGATTGGGACATATTATTCAGTTACAACAAGAGTGGTATTGAGCCTTTAACACCCTAAATTTCTGCATCAACCGGGATAAGAAATATGATCATAATCCATGCAGTGTGCTATGAGAGAAATTTTGTCTGAACAGCAGTGTTTCACCTACTCCTTTAGCAAATTTCAATTGCCAAGGGTTCTTTTATATGCATGTCAATGTCTACAATATACCTTGGTTTTTCCTCCTATCCAAACTACTAGGCACTGTTCCTTGTCAATGTTTCTGTCCTGCACAGCTGATACTTGAAAATCCTGAGCAACTTTCTCTGTCAACATCAAGATCGCACCATGGACCTCCTAGTTGGTGAGACCTTCTCACTGAACACTGTGACCCTAGTTACCAACATGTTCACTGTACACATCTAATCTGAGTGGTGGAAAGATTCTTGAGTATAGCCATGACCACAGTAAAAGACTAAAATATTGCATTTTTTCAAGCCTAGTCTCACTTGTTAAAAGGACTGTACATCATCCGACGTGTCCAATCTTGTGAGTCCGTACATAAATCTGGTAACCCACGCTATTAGTTTTTTGGTATCAACCCAGTTTTACCGTTTAAAGGGTATTATAATACAGTAGGTTTATTGTTGGTTGATGTTAAACCTCATACCACATATAAATTTTGTAATAAAAAGATGTTATTTACAATGCTTTTTTATATACTTTCAGATTTCATCGTCCCTGAATACAGTTTTTAGTAATGGGAGATAACTCTGCCAACAGTCCAACTGGTACTACTAAATCTAAAGATCAGTGACTCTGATCTAACCCCCTTTATCTTACGATTCTCAAGTTAACTAGGAGAGTGGTTAAAGAAGAGAAATTGTAACAAACCTGTGGAATACAGTTTGGACACAATAATGGTCCGTATTTCTAACTGGACGGTATCAGTGCTCAAAGCTTCTATACTGAAGGATTCAAACTGCTGTCTATCTGGGGTCTTTTTCGAATAGAACGCTCAATATTAATCTATTATTTCTCAAGCCCTAGACACTATAATGTCCTCAGAAATATAATTTTAAACAATATATTTTAATTCTTTAAAAAAAAGTACACACAATATGGGGGGTTTTCACACAAAATTGGGTTTTTACACGCTTTGCATTTTATTTTAAAAACATAGTTACATAGATGTGAAGGACTGTGACTGTGTATGGCAGTTAATAGAGATTAAGAAAGTTAATTAATTATTTTGTTATGAGGTGTTTTAATTAACACATTATGATAATTAATGTAGTTAGTTGTTCTAGTTCCATATATTTACAAGTTTTATCCTAGGGCTGGTCCCTCTAAATTATAGTATTTAAACAAAATAAGGTGATAGAAATACATGCATTCAAATATCCCGAACTTAGCCATAAGTAATGTATATATTTAATCTTCTAACTGGTAATATCAGTTCCTATTCAAACATAAACAACTTGAGAATAACTGTAATTCGGAAGACATATAATAGAATTTGGAAAAATAGCATGGTCGGGCAAAATGTTCTCTTAAAATAAACTTGATGAGTTTATAGGATACATTTTGAAAAATCTAGTCTGAATTACACGTCTTCAAGATATTATTCAAAGATTTCATTTAGCCAGTAACTGAAAGATCAAAATAATAATTAAAAAATCTTATTACAAGTTATTTGAACAAAACTACATTTAGCCTATTATGTAACCCTCCTCTTTGTCTTATTTGTATATAGATTCCAATACATCTTCATATTTTCTTAAAAAAAATATCTCAATTAATGCCATTAAAACAAATTCTTTTAAATATAGCCATAAGTGACTAAAATAAATAGAAAGATTTGGTGTTCATCTGTTTTCTTTATGAACAAATATTTTTCAAATATTTTTTAAAGCATACTAACATTTGACCAATATATTCGATTTTGTTAGTTCTTTCTTATTTGTGTCTTTGAGTGTCCAATAAAACTGGCATAAAAATCAGTTAATATAGTGCTTTGTTTATTATATTCTATTTGCCAGTATAATTATATGTGTAAATTTATTTGTCTGTTTGACTTTCTTAATGAGAATGAAACTTAGTTTATCAATGTGCATATATTTAGAAATTTCCCTCTGTTTCAGATGTCAGATATTTTGGTTTCGTGTTTTGTGATTTGATCAATCTTCGTGTTTTCATGCTGAATGTCACTGAACTTGGTTTTACCATAAAATTGAAGCGTAATCTAGTTCTGGGAGATATTTACCAAACTGATCAATTCGTATATATTTTTTATATATTGTTTCAGTGGCATTTAGTAATGGAACTGTAAGTACACAGGTCACAATTTTAGAAAATCCAATTGCTGTTTATTACTGATAAAGCCTAGAGAATCTTAATAAAAACATCACTCAGCAGTAAACGTAATAGTATTTTCCTTAAAATTGTGATTGGTGTAGCATTTCTATGTAGGCTTTGTATTCAAGTAGAAAGACGTACTAAGATTTTGAGGATTTCTATGAATGCATTTAAAATTAATTAGTGACTAGTTGGCTTCCTATGTCCTGTCAAATAAACTTTCTTTTGTTTTAAACTAGTGATTTATTATTATTATTATTATATAAATTGTGTTCATATTTTGTTGTATAGTTGGACATTGTAAAATATTCTGTTAAAATAATAGAGTAAAATTGTGTATAAAAGTATAGATTATAGATAGAGAATTATTTTTATCTCGCAATATCTTTGTTAAAAAAAATAATTACCATAGAGTTATTCTAGAATATTATACACAGTCTTCTCTAGTCTATTCAAAAGTTATTTATGGCCAAATTTGTGGACCATGAACTGGTCTCCAAGCGCCACTCATGTTGTTGTCCTTGTAGACGATACTTTTTGATAAAAGCCTATGGATCCATCAATTCAAATACGACTGACATGAAACTTGGAATATATCATCCTTTGACAACTGTGCATCCATTTTTGAAATGACATCACAATTCCAAGATGGCGGCAATCATGGCATGCTCGGTTGCTGGTCCATATAATACGCACTTACTTATTAAAACATCTATTTGAAATTTTTAAAAAGTGACAAGTTCTTGTTTCCAGATTAGGGAATTCAATGTTATACATTCTGAAATATATCTTAAAATCTCTGAAAATGTTTTGAGTTGATGGGTCATTGAATTGTTATTTTCTGAAATTACTCTATGGTAATGGTTATTATGCATACATCATGGATATGGACTGGTTATGGAATATTGAATCAATGACTTAATTCATCAGTGTAAATCAAAGGGACTATATTTGATAAATATTGGATCTCAAGTCTAGATATATAATAAGGCTAATTGCATAGACTTGTAGATAAATATTTATCTTAATAAAGTACTACCCTGTGTCTATGGTTCTAATATGTAAGATGTATATATAATATACTATGATATAAGACATGAAACATTGTTTCAATAGGGCTGTGTTAATATTCTTCATTTGTATAAAAGGTTTTCTTTATAGGCAAGGTTCTAGGTTTATTCAAAAGATGTCTTTATAGGCTAGGTTCTAAATATATTCAACAGGCTTCTTTAATTTCTTCCTTATTTACACCCTAAACTAAGTGCTATTAAAAATTGAAGATTAACAAAATGTAAGCCAAAATTAAACATAGATCCCTCATTCTTATTATACAAATTAATTTAGAACCCAGAAATGCATGTTATAAATGGAAGATACATCTTCAGCGCTATTCACCATTTTAAGGGTTTTTTGTCTATAAAAAGCAACCATTTTATATTAGAGAAACTGTATACCCCGTTATAAGATGCCTACATATTTTTTAACCCCGATCTTCTATAAATAAATGTTGCTTAAATCAGATGTATACAGATTATATAAGGTGCCATTTTAAATATCTTTATTTAATATTCTTTATTGTTATTCATTTTATAATGTCATATTTGTTTGAATTTGTAATGTATCTTAACATAATTCATTTAGAAATCAGACTCTTGGAAAATGACACTTTGTCGATTATGCTTAGGTTTTATGGGAAATCATAGTAAATTAATAATAGCTATATTCATTAAGAAATCAGACTCTTGGAAAATGACACTTCGTCTATTATGTGTAGGGAAATAATGGTAAATTAATAATAGCTATATACATTAACAAATCAGACTCTTGGAAAATGACACTTCGTCCATTATGTGTAGGGAAATAATGGTAAATTAATAATAGCTATATACATTAACAAATCAGACTCTTGGAAAATGGTAAACTAACAGTTATCTTAAGTTGTTTAATGTATCTTGAAATTATTCATTCAAAAATCAGAATCCTTGAAAATGGTAAATTTACAATAATCTAAAATTGTTTAATGTATTACTAATCATTTATTAGAAAACAAACTCTTGGAAAATGGTAACTTTACGATTGTTGTAAAAGGGGTTATTTTATTATTAGAAAATACTTATAATATACTTACACAATTGTCAACTTATTGTTTTCTTTTTGTCAAAAAATTCTTAACCGACAATAGACCATTTTCAGAGGGAAATTAAGCAATAATTAAGTTATACGATACTGTTGCCAATGGGAACACTGCCTTGTGATATTTTATCCAAAATTTGTGTTAGCAGGTTAAAAGGAAAAATACAAGTTTGTTGTTAGATGAAAGGAAACTTGAATTTATCCTCATCAACGATGTATATTTATATTAACAATCAAATAGATATATATTTATTCCTACCTATGTGCATTTTAATAAGCATAACTTTATATTCATTATACAAATGGAATGGGATACAATATGGCAGCTTAATTTTTTTTCGCCCCTGAACAATTAAAAATATTTTGTATTTCAATAGGATATGGGAATATTTCTGTGGATGGAGCTTTGGTGTAAACACAAAAAAAAACAAAAAAAAACGGTGGCTCGAATTCATTCAGTTATTCCATTAATATTAAAAATTGTTACAGATAATTTTATCAATTAATCTAGAAATAGTCTGATTAAGTGTGTTTCATACAATCAATTATTTTGAGGTTACCGGTACAATTTAAAAACAGTTTTAATTAAATAGTTTGTTATTTCTCTCTCCTCTTGAAATGTTCCATATAAAATTATTTCATTTGTATGATAATAACATATGTATGATTGACATCCATGATGTACCCAAATTTGCAAATTTCATTTTTAATTTTGTATATATATTTTTGTAAGTAGAGAAACTTGTATATCTATCTGCCTCTACTATTTGAATCTAGGGGTTTTGTAGAAATGTATGTATGGCTGTAAAATTTCTATCTCATTTTGTGCTGATTGTCTTTGTTTGTTTATTAAGAAGAGTAAAAAAAAAAACAACCCATGATTGTTATAAATATAAATCTCTCGTATATACAAGAGAGTCTCCACTAGTAAACTAAGGCATTGTACATACTCATTGACATGCAAAGTGCTGTGCCTGTTTTTTATGGTGGAAATAAATTACATTTTAACACTCAGAAAAAAAAAGTTTTTATTTTATGGCCCTGGAATGTATTTGTATATGAACTATCCATATTTTCAAAGTGAAGGATATTAGTGTGCCATGTTTTGGTATAAGATACGAAAAAAACAGGTTTTAAATATTCAATCACTATAATGTTTACGATTGAATGGTGATCAGAGAGTTCTGTAGCTCCCAATTCAACAATTCAGTGCAATTTTTAATTACTTGCAGATTAACATACTGTCAGTCATATGAAATTTAAGATAGACATTTAGCATATAGATGTATTAGAATAAAATAGCACTCTATACAAATTCCAAACACATCAGATTTATGACGGGGAATTATTGAGGAATGACCATTAGTAAAACCGATTCCTAAGATAAGGAACTGTATGAACTCCATCCTTTTGCATTTTAAATTTTTCATTATGATTCACAGAGCCAGATTAAGATTTTGTAGGCACCAAGTATTATAAGGCCCCCAGTCTAGGAAATTTTTAAACACTGGCCAAAAAGTTTTGACTATGTTCCCTACAGGATATTAATTGAATTGCCCTTTTTTAAACAGATTATTTCGAATACTTATATTAATTCAATAATTTATCACAATCTTTGGAGTCCTTGCAGCTGACAAAGTCCCCTAGGTTGCAGCCCCTAAAATTGTGTCTTTATCCAGCCTCAGGGTTACGGTCCTTGGCTAGCACCAAATACTCGGAAAATTTGGGCACACAATTTTACTTTGTAAAAGTTGTATAAAAAAAATATTGTGTTCTTGAATGTGTCTAATTTAACAGCGAATTTATTATTATTATGTAACATACTAAGAACCCAACTACATTTTTTGGGCACCAACCACCACCGCCCCCCCAGTCAAAAATTTCCCTGTACGCCTATGTTGGCTAGCGAAGATGGCCCCAGGTATGATGAATGATTTATGATGGTTTGGAAATACATGTAGTAATATTTAAGTAATTACATATTTGAAAATCATTTATCATGCATCTCAACTATAATTGGACTTTTAATATTTTAGTATGGTAGGGGATAAATTTAGAGTGGCGGATCAAACCAAAATAAGCTTGCACCAGATAATAACACATCGACCGGTAGCCTGTAGAAACCGATATTGTAAACAAACCCTTGTCTACACGTCAACAACTATATGATGTTTTGTCTGGTGGTTGATCAATGATTGATTGCGTCTTATTGATTTTAGTAGCTGCACTATAACCCGTGTCGTATAATGATAGAATGGTTTATGACAGATGGACTAGATGATACATGAAACTAACATCTTTGTCCTTGTAGCTGTCCTTAACCACAGTAACAGGTGCACGCGTTATTCTAGTTCTCTTTGATCTCTAACAAATCAAATAATTTCCTTAATTCTCAGTGGTGGAAAATTAAGCGTCCCCAAATTTGAACGCTAATTGAAACCTATAACAGAAATCGTCTACCGAAATAGATTGTAGATCGTGGTCTATTAGTTGTGGATTTCCATAAAGAAACAAAAAGATGTATTTCATATTTTCCAGATATAAAATTGACTAAAACTAATGCATGTATTTGACAAATGTAAAAAGTCTGTTGAAACATTCAAAAAAATTCCCGAAAAGTCATAGACAAAACACCTTATGATCAGTGGGGGTCACAAGCCACGGTAGCCCAGTTCGATCCTGGTGCTTGGCAATGAAATGAAATGAAATGAAATGGGGTTTAACGTCCTACTGTTCTGCTCCTAACCTGGGCTAATGAAGACGGGCATACGCCATACAGTGTGCTATGAGGGAAATTTTGCCCGGGCAGCGGCACTACGGCCTACTCTTATATCGAATTCCAACTGCCAAGGGATCTTTTACGTGCACGCCAATGTGTACACGGGACCTCGGTTTTTCGTCCCATCCGAACGACTAGACAGCTTTCCTTGTCAGCCCCTCCATCCTGCATCACTGACAAGGGAGAACCACGCCGGAAAATCTGGATGAACTTTCTCGGCCAATGCAGGGATCGAACACCCGACCTCCAGGCTAGCGAGCTAGCGTCTTACCCACTTAGCCACGTGATCCCCTGGTGCTTGGCAAGGAGCAGTGTCTATGTCTAGTCTATCGGGTGGGACGAAAAACCAAGACCCCATGTACACGTCGTGTATTTTATGCAAATCAACCCCATGACCGGTACGGTACACCCCTGCTTATATTTATATTCTACCAACAGTTATTAAATCAAAGTGAATGTCAAAATATTCAGAATAGGTTGGGGGACAAAAAATCATGGAGGTGCAATGGCAGAAACGTTCTCCCTTAGATTGCACGCATGGTCATCATAAATAATAGAGAAAAAATTCATTGAAGAAATAAAATGTAAATCGTAAACTCAGACATGATTCAAATTGATTAAATTTGTTTTCGTAGATTTAACATTTTCTGGTCGATGTCACAGCTGCATGGATATACCTATATCAATTTGCATTTTCGACGTATACAACCAGATATTAAAACAGTAAAATCAATTCCATATATCAAACAAAGGGGTTTATTTTCAGAGGAAAATGTTGTTTATAATATGTATTACTAAAACATGTACTCCTAAAATTACATTCAACAAGACAAAAATTGAATACATGCACGTGCACATCAGCAAAACAAAATTCTCTGAAAAATGTCTTTATTGTCTGTCTATTTTAAGCATTGTCTGGTGTAATCTGGCACGATTGGTATATTATGCATATAAAATTGCTGCCGGGCTTCACCATTATTTCGAAATTGATTTTGATCAAATTTTTATGAAGATTTGAAGTGAAATGTAAATTTACAGACGAAAAACAAGGCTTGTCATATTGTAAAGTATGCTAATAACTTATTTATATCTTAAAATATCTGCCAACATTAGCGTCATTTGTGGTAGCCATAGTTAGTTAACCATGCAGAAATAAATCATCTTTAGTCTTGGTTGTGCCCCCTAGTAGGTACATGTGTTATATTTAAAGTACGACTCATTATTAGAATCATGCCAGATGATGCCTATAGTACCGTTATAAATTAGTAATAATGACGTTACCTGTCGTTAAATCAGGTGTCATAGATGAAACCACGTAATCGATTAATCTAGATGATCAATGACATTGATCATAGATAATCATGTCCCAGGTGAGAATGGAGATGAATTTATTAAGCTATGGCTTGTTTTCAGATCCACAATATCAGTGTTGTAAATAATCATGATATAATAGAAATAAAATATTGTTTAAACCAAATGAGAATAGAAAACACGGCTGTTACTCTATCTTTTTCTTACATTATCTTATAAACGTCATTTTATTCTTTATTTTCCAGTGCAATTTATTTTCAATATTCGATATTACATTCGATATTCCACGTGAAGGATTATTCGATTTCAATTACATTAAAATATATGTATCCACCAAGTTCTTTATTCGTAAACGTATTTTCCCTAATTTTGTTTGCGTGTACATGTATTTCAATTGTTCAAATATGTTTTTATTGGTTTTAAATTAAACAGAAAACCTGTTTCTGTTGTATATGTTTTACTAATTTTCTACAGGACATAGTTTATGTACATGGTTAATTATTTATTTAGTTTAATATTGCCCGGGGTTATTTTATTTCAACGTAAGTACACAAGAACAAACGAATAACGGGGGCGTATTGACTTACTTGAATGCACGTGGCACGCGCAAGCCATCTGGTTTGTCGCAGGTTATAATTGACAGCTGTGGTCAGTGACCAAATTTGAAGGCGAGTCAGTTGATCTCACTCCCGATGACCAAATTGGATACCGATTTCAGTAGCCCTAATTATGATAATCAGGGCACGCTTTGACATAGACAAAAGAGAATTGACGAGTTATACCCCATTTCCCTAGAACAAAGCCTCTGTCACAACGCCGTGAAACAACACCAACTGCTAAAAACAATTATTAACTGTTATACAAAATTTCTACACTTTTATTTCTCTTTGATGTTTTTATTCATAAGTTTACATCTGCCAGGTATTAACAGTGATTAATTATATAAATGTAATTAAAATGAAATTACCCATATCAAATCTTGTTATTCAAAATATATTTATTTTAATGATAAAAAAATAAATGATCATTTCTTCGATTTATTGTCGATGTTATAAAACGAAAATCTTGTAGTGGAATTAATTTTTAATTAAAATCCATTTTTATATCTTTGTGTCAATAGCACGGCTACAAATAGCATATCAAATGCAGTGAAATTTGAATTGTTCGGGGGAAAGCACAATGCAATCGGTACAATATTTCAAGCATTAAATTTTATTTTGGGTTATAATCATAAAGTCAACGACATCTGGGTAGAATAAGCGTGCCCATTATTATATTGAGTATAACATGATAACGCTCCCACACACGTGCGCGTATGTACTCAACAATAGAAAAAAAAATTCAATTTAAGACTGAATGGTTGTTGGACTGGTTTTAAGAGGGGTTGTTTCTAACAAGGATACTGTGGGACAAAATGCTGTTTGTGCAACAGTTGGTTGTATTTAAAATATTAGCGTGAAATGTATTCGATCAGCTGTACCCTGTTATAAAGTTATCGCTGGGTTGTCACTATCAGCTGTATATCATTCATTATGTATGAGACCTAGCACATGGTGGCTTTACTTAATAACACTAAGCCTCTTTCTTTTATATATTTTGAAAAAAAAAGCAAAACAAACAAAACCCACTTAAATTTTATTGTTGACGAAAGGAGGTGTTTTGGTTGCATGGTAAAAGTGGAAGTGTGAAAACTGATCCACTACCCTGTTCAAATTCTCTAACGCATGCTAGTTTCAGTATTCGCTGATTTAAATCACCGAATAAGTTGCACTGCTTATTAAAACTGTCTATATTCAGGAGCAATTCGTGGAAAGGTTCAAGACATTGTCGCTGCCGTGGCATTCCGCAAGAATCGTATATAGAAAGACAAAAATAAAATCCAGCAACAACAAATAACAGCCTCGAAATCATCATTACCCGATGATAAGACCCCAAACCTCTAACCCTACATTTCAAACAAATTTAGGTCTAAATTATATCAAATTCCGATTTGTTTATATACATTATATAGTACTACTGTTCTGGCGTTGGGGTTAGACTATTAAATATAGAATTAATTGACTAAATATTAAGCTCTACTCTTTTTAATGTATCAAAATAATATAAACCCCGACTTGTTTTGAGATCCCAGATTTATTAATGTCATATGTATACCATGAACATATTTATTGAATAAATATTGTTAGAAATATTTTTTTTAAAAAAAAGATTACTTTACTCAGTAATTAAAAAACATAAATTCTTGAAAAAACACCTGCCCAGACTCTAGTCAATCGGAAATGTTAACACAATAGATTTTTAAAATATCACAATAGAAGCCACGAAGAAAAGTTATTTGATATTTTATGAATAAACATTATTTAAACCAATTCTCGGAATTGTTAAAGGACGTTAAACCCCATTTCATTTCATTTCATTTGAGAATTGTTAAGTATTCTTAATTTACAAAAAATAAACGTTTATTTCCAGATACGACCATCAATTATTTAAGAGTACGATATGCATATGGATGTTTGGATTATTTCATTTTTTGTTTGTTTCCAATTTTTTTTTTTTAAAAAAAGAAAATTGGTATTTACATTAATTGCTTATAAAATTATATTTTAAAATAATTCTTTGAATTAAAAGCATCGATTTACTGATAGCAGCCTGAGTTTTATACTTTATTATTTATGTTGAATAATAAAAAATACAAATGATCCCCGAAAAGAAGGTAAACATAAACGGAATCTAGTTGTAGAAAGGAAAATCGATCAAGCCCAGTTACATTTGCATGCTACTTAACGGTTCACTGAATGCACAATACCATTCGCCACCCAGCTGAGTCGAGTACTAGAGCCTATACATCCCTATTCTAATAATGAGTATCGCCCTTTATGATACAAATGTGAATGGCGACACGTGCTGGTCGTTTAGATTACCAATCTATTAGGGGTGTATTGTAGTAGATTGGATCGATTTTCGGAACAGCGATGCCAGTTCCTTTGTTCTTGACTTGCTAGAGTCGTCAAAACAATGGAGAGATTAATTCAACTAACGGGATCGGGGCCCTATAAAGGGTCTCGTAAATCAGAGCGAATGTATTCAGACCCAGAGAGGGAACGAGTAGTGCCCTGTGCGGGTGAGGGGCAAACCATTACCGTAAACAAACAGCAGCTTTGCGAGACTGAAAGGTTTAGTTAAGAATTTTTTGCTTGCCAGCAAGTTCGTCAGCAGATCAAGGACAGTTTTAATCAAATTGGCTGGACTGTATTTTGACATATCACAAAACTGACGATATTGAAGATAAAGGAACAAAGAAGATTGGCGAGATTAATACGATTATTTGTACATCAGCTGTTGCCAACTACAGCAGTCAGACTATTATTTATCATGCCTACTCCGTTATCAGACGGCTGTCGAGCAGCTTGGAATTGGAACAGACGGGAAAAGTCACACGAAGTTCGTATTCATGGAAAACAGTTGCAGATTGCATATTTTCACCCGAACTGGAGCAACGGTACGGCCGGAGTTCGGGGATCTAAACCTATTAACAATGGAAGACATTATTGGGAAATTCGAATTTCGGAAAGACTTTTTGGAACAAGTATGATGTTCGGAATAGGAACGAAGAAGGCCCGGTTACACGTGGATGCTTTTGTAAACTTGTTGGGCGAAGATGACCAAAGTTGGGGACTTTCTCATAAAGGATTATTGTGGCATAATGGAATATCGAAAGAATACACCCGACCCTTTCAAGAAAATGAATCAACAACAATTGGTATGTTATACGACGGTGATACAGGAACATTAACTTATTTTAAAGATGGTGACTGCTTAGGAGTTGCTTTCACCGGACTCGACAATGTCGTTTACGATCTTTATCCTATAGTGTGTTCGACCGCAGCTAAAACAGAGATGACTCTTGGCACGAGAAAACGAAGTTTTGTGAACCTACAAGATCGATGTCGTGCATCTATTCTTTCAAAAATTCCAATGACTAACAGAATAGACAAATTACCGTTACCAAATAAAATTAGACAATTTTTGAAAGAAGGTGCAGTATGATATGCATAACTTGAAATTAACCATATCTTCTAAAATGTCTGATACAGCGAAATAAACTTTTAGAAAGCAGTGTACAATGTACGAAACATCATTAGTTCTTGCCGTTTGTATAATTTACATGTATATATAATTGTAAAACATTGTATATATCTATTTACGATAAATTAATTTCACCAATATCGTCACATATCATATCTCTTGTAAAGGGAGGTAACCTGTCTCTTTAATGTAAATACATTTATTTATTTATTTAATAATTAAATTATATATTAATTATAAATCTTAATATATAAATACGGATGAGTATATCTAGTCAATTGTTTATACTAAAGCATTTCGCTAATCCGCTTTCTTTATTTAAAGTTTTTTTATGTAAAAATATTAATTGAATTTTATTTGTGTGTATATTAATGTATAATTTATGCAGTAGATTATATCTACAAATTTCATAATATATTGATTTTAATATATTTAAGGCCAAGCCGTGCAATAATTCACAATAATAGAGTGATGTATATAATGATGTATATAATTTAGATAAGTAATATAAATAATAAAGCACATTATTTATCATAATTGTGCATATTTCAAAAGGTGCTATTTTGTATCATAAACTGTAAGCAAGAGTGGGGATGCGAGGACAAAAACTGTCAATGTTCATAAAAAAAAGAGCCAGTGTAGTAAAGTTTTTTTGATTTCGAATTTTTGAGAAAAAAAACCCCAACAAAACAGTCGTTGGATTCGTTTATCAGAATATATCAGTAAGTCTAAAAATATTAAAGAATAAAAATGAGCTGTCATTTTTTAGGGCGTTGATAGATGACGTCTATATATATAATTAAGATATTTTTAAATAATTAACCATGTTTAAGTCTACACAAAGGTATTATCAGATTAGAACATTGACAGTTTGACCGAGTGACAGCTGATCTGTATATGAATGAATCTAAAAAAAAAGAAAGAAAGAAGCGGAATTGAATGAAAATGAAATGTTTGTTTTATAATTCATTTTTGTAATAAAAACTGTGTGTATCAATTTAAATTTGTGTTTTTGTTGTGTTTAAATATCTATGTGGACACCGACCCCATAAATATATATGTATGAAAAATATCCGTTTATAATTTCAAAGTCCTTTGTTATTATATACTGACAAGTCAAAGCATTATGAAAAGGTTGGCACGCGCCGGTACGCATGAATGAATAGGGCGAACGAAGATAAAAGGAGAATGGAGACGGGGTCACGCGAACTTAAATATTGATCACTGATATGAAATATAATCACAAACAAAGAAACATTTTCTACCTTTAAACTTGGTTGAATTTACATATGTATAAAGAAAAGTTTTTTGTGTGTACCCCTGTCTTTCAAGTAAACAGAAGGGACGCCTCTTTTTTTAGGTTTTTATCTTATTTGCACCGGTCAGCTGTCTTAATAATATCGGTCAAGTGGAATAATCTGTCAAAAGCGTTTTATCAGTTTTATCAACTTATTCAACTATTAAAAGCCATTTAATTAAGGTATGAGCTGTATAGGCCAACTCTTCCAATTCTGTAGTGTTTAATTTAATATCGCCCTGTGTTTGATTCACGGTTATTTTTGGGCGGTTTTACGTGATATTTAAATATTTATCAACGTTGAAAGTTAGGTTGTAATGATGCTGCTCTGACAAACGGCAACTCACATTGATGTTTACACAAAGGCCATAGAAATAGTCCTGGGTGTAATGCCCACAAAATAAGCTAGTGTTGACAACACATCTGTGACATTTAAAACAAGCGCTTGCCATAGTTTTCAAGAGATGAATAGAAAACAAGCTAAAAACAACAACAAGATACGATTTTTCATACAACCAGGGGCCATGATCCAGAAAGTTAGGGTTCGATACGCGCAAGTATTGAACCCGGGATATACATAATACACATATATTTTATGTTTCATCAAAACATTATCAAAATTGTGACCTCTAGAGGGTCCACAACCTTGATATTACACACGTTTACACTATTTGCGTACACCTTCATTATGGTGTAACAGTGATACATTCGAACAGTTTATTAAATCGTACAATAGGGGCCATAACCCAGGAAGTTACAGTCCGATATGCGCGAATATCGACAGGAACGGAGATTTTTGGAGACAAACCTATATTCCAAGTTTCGTCAAAATCGGATAAGAATTGTGACCTGTAGAGTGTCCACGAACAAATTGTGGGCGGACAGACAGGGGCGACGACATTGTACGTCGACATGAAAATGTGGTCGTATAAAAATAAAATATGTGTTTTATATTGTTTACTTGGGAACACAATGGTTGGGTACAGCTGCCCTGGCAAATCAGTTTTAAAGGGACCCTGACGACCAGTGCCCTTTATGAAATGAAATGGGGTTTAACATCCTACTTTTATGCACCAACCGGTTTAATGAAGACGGTTATACGCCATGCAAGGTGCTATGGTGAACATTTTACCAGAGGAAGGGCGCTACGGCCTACTCGAATTTCAGTCAGGGGTTCTATTACTTGCAAGCCAACGTATAATCGGCACCTCAATGTTCCTTGTCAGGCCTGCACATGTGACAACGGTAAACTACGGTGGAATATCCAAAGGAATCCCTACGACCGTGATCGAGACTTACTGAGACAGTGTGAACGGAAACCCTTTCTGGTTAAAAGATGATTTAATAACGTTTCATCAAGTCAAATCTTATTAACCCATAAAATATATATATACTTTTACTTTATAGGATTTTTTAAAATTATTTTTTAGAAGTTTATTTAATATCACAATGGAAGCACAGATATAAAATTACAAATTCAACAAATCAACAAAATGTCAAGAGGGTTCACGAGACTCCTTTCATGTAGCCTCTCTGTACGTCTATTCAGAAATATAAGTTGGAACTATTAGAATATCGTTGAATGAACTATAAACTATTTAACACGCATCACATTAGTATCAAATTGGTTGGTTGATGTTAACAGTGTCTGAAATGATAAAAATATTCTTCATTATGTAAACATAATGTCCCTTTGATACCTTCATTTTGTCTAGCTCCATTTCAGTCTGTAGTTTATATCCATACCGCAGTCTCAATTTGCTGTTCTTGGGAGGATAATAGTAAAGTGTTTAAATGGGGGTTACAAACACTCTATACCCACCGACAGCCACTGACCCGGATCCATCACCGTTGGACCTTTTTCTTAAACAACGTTTTAACGCTGAAGTTCTTAGTTCCATAGCTAAGATGCCGCGTGAGTAGTTTTTACACAATGTACATTGAAACCTTAACCTATAATAGTTACATGTAGCCCACTCAGTATTCCTTGAGCGCACTCAGTTTTATTTTTCTTGAAATGGGTGGGTGGGGGGGTCCGAACAGCTTAACGAGTGCGCGTTAGCTCACAAGGTCTGTCATTGAGTGAAGTGGTGTGGTTTCGATTCCCCGCGTGTGCGTGACAAAGAGTTGGATCGTATGGGTTTTCTTCGGGCGCTCCGGTTTCCACCCATAGCTAGCTAAAGACCCCTACACGCAAGTGAATTATTGAAATAAATTTTGAACCATGTGTTGGTCCCGAAATGACCTAGTTTGTGTCAAGTGGACGTTTAACCACCATTTCTCTCTCGATCTCCCCTTATTTTCCCGTTGATTATCAAGCGTTATAAATTATAATAACACTGTATAGATTGACTTACCCACATGTTTTACGACAATAATCTCTAGTATAATTATAAAATACATCATTTATACCAGTTTGACAACCAAATGTTTCATTTCGCCAAAATTCACAGGCAAATGTCGCTGCTAAGTCCAAACAAACTAAAAATAAATATACAAAACATGGATAAATGTTACAATAATTTTAATGAGTAGACGATATAAAATTATCTAAATTAGACGAAATCTTAGTAATTGGTTCTTGACAAATTACAATATTTTGCTAAGTATGCCTGGATTCAAATCGGCAACCTACGTCCTTTGGTTTAGGGGTTACCATTCTTGCCCGGAACTTAGGTACAGCTCAAAAAGTATATCAACAAAATTATCTTCAGCTTTACCCGTGTATCATTGTTTTAACCTTCGAAGGAATCTCCTACCTGTAATTTTGGGAGAACTGTTTAGCCATTTTGGTCTAGGTGCCACCGAAGCAGCTACAAATGTCACAAATTGAAAAAGTAAGGTACGGTGATTTTTATATAAAAAGTTCCAATTACCTGAGGGCGATAATGTTGTTAAAGGACTTCGTTCACTACATTGTAATTTAGGACAGCATTCAGGAAAAGGTTTACTGTTATCTTCAACCAACTGACAGTTGGTCGTATCCGGATTCTCTGTTGGTGCTAATGGCCGACATCTAAAAATAAAGTTTTAGAATAACACGTCATTATCAACTAGTGTAAATCATATCGGCTGATACAATTAAATATGACATCAAAAGGTTCACGACGCGGAGAATATTATGCTATTCGATGTCGCTAGGCCTATAGGGTGCTTGTAGGTTGTTTATTAGACTGGACAACCTGCTCTAACTGACGTCAGGCTGGTTCCTACGTCACTGCGCTATTCTGACTTCTATATGCAAGCATAGAACTAGAACACTAACAGTCAGAAAAGGAGTGACGTAGGAGCGAGTCTGACGTATTAGAGCAGGTTATCCAGTCGAGTTGTTAATGAGAGAATGACGTAAAATGCTCATCAACCATTAACGTCAGCTCCTGGAAACCACGTCATCAATGGCTGTTCAGACTCACACAAAGGTAAACTAAGATCACTTCTTTTTCACAAATGCCAGATCAATTAATAATTCGTTTTATCCTGCATAGGTTTAAGGGAGAAGATTTTGAAAATGGCGAACCTGCAATTGTGTATCAAACAAAACTAAAGAAGGAACGATGGAAACTGAAGGACACCAAGATGGCTTACAAAAACTTTGATGATCCCACAACGTGGTATGCAACAGCTCGAATTCTTGAAGACTCCGAGATACAGTGGATGTGGGTTCTGATAAATCCAGAACGAAAGATAATCAGAACTGAATCTATTTCCTATCGCCATGTTGGTGTAGGATTTGTGGGTGGTGATATACACAGTAGCTGGGGTATCAGCGAGGTTATATATCAACAGCAGGGTTGCTATGTCAATCTAGAAACGTGTTACCGTACTAAACTTGGGGAACGTCTTGCAGCTGTGGGAGCAGGGACAGTCCTTGGAGACTGGATTGCTTGCGAGGCGCCTTTAGCAGATCTGATATCCGACTTTGATTGGAAGTGGCGGGTAAGGCTATGGATGGACCAATATACGAACAAGGAATGGAAATGGGTTGTTGTTGATCAGCGAAGGTGTCCAGTCCGATGGGAAGACTCTCCGAACAGACAGCTGGTCTGTAAAAAATTGACCATTCAGACAATTTTCGCTCCTTGGAATAATCCAGGTGACGACAAGGTGAAATGTATGGTAGCAGATGAATTAAGAGACAGGGTTAGAGACCATGGTATTTTGCAGTTAGAAAAAAGTAATAAACTTTTCCAGTCTGAAGATATGGACGACAAAATTACGCTGAGGAAAGAATAAACTTTGTGTTATTTTATAGACTGTTCGTATTATAGTATTTCAATATAATTATATAAATATTGAATGTGTCTCCGTTTTATTAAATATATTTGAATATCGGTCTACACAAATTTATTGCATGTTAATGTTATGGCGTGACAGCCCTCCTTGAACGAAGATGGTAACAGCAAAGTGTTTAATGATAGTTGCACAGTACCATTATCAGTCACTGTCAGACCAGAACCCGTCGGTAATAAAATATCGGGCTAATATAAGGTACAGAACGTGGGGCCGGTTTTTAATCGACAATTTTCAGCGGTCCAATAGGATTAGTTTTAAAGCCCGCGTAGAATTCGCAAACCATAATCTGACCCCCTGTAGAACGTTTCCATTAAAATACCCGCGAAAAATTATTTGTTAAATATTTTCGCGATCAAAAATCGAATCTCCGTTTCAAATTAGGTGAAATAATAATGTTAACGCAGAATGAATCCAGTCGTATTAAATCCAACTTAATTTTAAAAGATAAATTCGTTATTACATTATGCACAACAGTTCAGCGTAGGCTTGTGAACAACAGTTTCTTAATATTAAAAGCGTAACCTCGTCGAACTGAAATTATTTTAAACTTAAAGGATGGGTGGTTTGTAGTCAGAATCATGAATCAACAGTGTGACATGTTGTACAAACGTGGCGACTAAATGACTGAAATTAAATTGTAGAATAATAATATGACAAAATCGAAAATCATATAAGCCCACCTTTCTTGTACTATAAACTTGCCAGAGAAAACAATAAAACATATGTTGTTATCACAGACCCCGGGAGCAGACGGCCAATTGTCTCCATCATTCATCACATTACCAGACGCATCTAAACAATCACCTAAAAATAGACAATTGATGGTATTATATATATATATTACCCTTTCAGTAACCTTGTACGGTGCGATATTTTATTAAATGTATAAATCAAGAGGCATGAATAAGTATATGACATCCATAAAAGATGCAAAACAGGAACCTTCCCCAACCCCCATCTTGCGGGAATATTCCACACGAACTATTAATAGTACTCCGTCACGGGTGGGTGCCACACCCCAAGACACACATAGTTGTAAAAATCAAATACAGTCAATATTTTGTCAGTATCATTATGGTCAGGATGTATTGCCCCCTCTGTGCTCACACAATTTTTAAATTTTTTAGAAATGATTAGTATATGCGCCTTGGACATTAACTTCGATGGAATACAGTCAATATTTGTCAGTATCATTATGGTCAGGATGTATTGCCCCTCTGTGCTCACACAATTTTTAAATATTTTTTATAAATGATTAGTAAATGCACCTTGGACATTAAAGTAACTGAATATCATCCAAAATCTTCGACATTTAAAACACGAATTTTTTTGCAATTTAAATCAGCATTGGTGTTGTGATCTTACCTGGAAAAGATGGACCTCTGATATCCAATATTTAAGACAAAATAAACATTTTACCATTGGTACACGAATCGTGTACCATAATGCGTTTCAGCGCCATTTGTAACAAGGTGCTCAAAGAATGAGACTAGACATATTCCACAAGTTATGTCAAACGGTGATATCGTGTTCTTATTTGGAGAGCATGCGCAATAAATAATATCGGTGTTGACTGGAATAACCAGACGCTAGAAACTGACTTGCGGTTGAGACTTCTGGCGTATTTCGCTGAACATAACTAATGACAATTCACAGTAAAACGGACACGATTGAATGTAAAACAGTTTATATAAATTCATATTACATTATTATATGTGTTGCGACCCATTTGTGCCAATTTCTAGGTCCAAAATATTAGCGATTTAGCTCCTTTAACTTCGATGGAATTGTGCGCAATATGAGAACTAACTATTTTTTATTATTATTATTGGTAGTAGTAGTAGTGATGGGGTAAAGAGGGTCACTTTCGATTTTTAGCGTTTTTACAAAAACTAGAGATATAACACCCCACAGACATGCTTTCATTTATAACGTAAATTGCCATGGCCTCTGGTCGCCAGTAGAAGGGTTTCAACCCACCACAAACTACCATGGTGTGAAAGTTGAATCTCTAAGCAAAGAGTCGGTCCAAAAATGGTTCAGTTTCGTTCAGTATTTACAATTTGACTACATTTTTGCAAGAATTAAATCGTGAAAATGAGATACTGTCCAAAAAGTGCCAATGACGATCGTCTGTAATAACCGATATACGTCCAAGATCAAAAAGAAAACATTCGTTGGGGAATAAGTGGTAAAGCCGTCGCCCTGACAAAGGCACCCTCCCCCACATACCAAACTTCGGCTGATTGTCTATAGTTAGCTCCGCCTGAAAATAGACACTAAGCTAGTTGACAGACATTTCAAGTCCTAGATCTACCATTTTAGTCGAAAACACTAAGTATATTTCGCGAATTTTGAGAAGTATATATATATGATGCTTTCATTTTTAAATAAAATAGAAAAGGTTAAATTAGTCTTTTTGTGTATAACAGATTCTGATGTGAACCGGAGTAGGAAAGCAATACAAAACATAATACAAATTGTTGGATATGGCGGTCATTGAAGGCAGAGATGTATTCTCGAAGTATGAAGTGGATGGATCTCTGTGTGCAGAATGCCTTCCCCACGATTGAAACATTTTAAATGATTGGGTATGAATAAAATAAATGACAGATTAAAGTGCTAACATAACTAATGCAATCAGCCTTTCATTTCGTATCTGTTGGGTCATGGGCCTTATAATACAATGTCCATGGTTGCGCTAAGAAATCGCAACAGATCAACAAAAATGACATCCTCGAATTGAGAACTATGTTAGTGCTCTGAAACGGGTTAGTAGCGAGAATGTTCTCGCAACAAAATCGCATTGATATTTAGTGAGAAACTTTATTCCCCCAAAACGTCAGTAGTGCTAAAAATAATTTACCTGTCGCTTTTACTTTAGAAACAATCCTCGATTGATTGGTGGCACATTCTACATCATGTATTAGAAACACAGAATATATCCAAATTATCAAACAGCTCCAATTATGCCATGTCATCGTCATCTTTAATTTACTAATACATTAAATCCATTAAAATGCACAGCTAACAAATGGAAAAAAAATCCCTTTAAAGTTCTGACCCCGACACTCACAAAATGGCGTAGAGATTATTATTGGTTGGTTTATTATTGTTTATTTAACGTTCTGTGACTATGTATATAATACTTATTATTACCTAGAAACAAGAATAGACAAGTTCCTAACAATAAACCAATCAACGTAACTTCTTTGTTTAAAATCAATGAAGGATTAACTTGAGATTAGACTAAGGGTCGATAATTCTGTCCTATTCTTCGAATCAGCCGTACATAATATGATTTATTTATTTTTATGTTATATTAAGCCTAAAACATAATTCCTAAAACATAATTCCTGAACACGTTGATTTTGGCTGTAAATTTGTAAGGTATCAGTATTGTTGAAAACGGGATGCTTTTATTGGATTTAGTGCGTCAGGGGAGACAATTCTTCTATCACCCAATTTTGAACAAGAACGTCTGCTTTGTTCATATTGTCGAGATTACTAACCAAAACTGCTTTTTAGGCTTAATTCAATTGATCTGTTTTCCATAATGATATAATAGATGTTTCAAAATCAATTCTTTTTAATCATTCATTTAGGCAATTATATCTAAATTCTGGTTTCAAAATATCAGGGGTAATGCTTAGGAATCTTAATGGCAGAAAACTGAGACCCTGTTTACAAATTGATAGTACACAAAAAGTCTCCATGGCAGGTGGAATTGAAAGAAAATGACACTTTCGGAAAAAATTGCCCCCCCCCCCTTTCCATTTTAATGAATAATCTAATATTGTATGCCCATTTCTTCCTTTCCTCTAAGTTCAAAATCTTAGTCTCTTGCACAAAAATTCATGTCGCCATTCTTGCAAGAGGAGCAGCAATCTTTGTAAAAAAAAAAAAAAAAAAATCAAACAAAATCTGAACCACCTTGGATGAATTTCCTAAAATTCTGAAGGTCTCTTTAAAGCTGCTAATGATTATTTGAGGGATTTTGAATATCTTACTACAATACAATATCAGTCCAAAAATATTTCAATTCAGTGTAGTATTTATAAAGATATGATCAAACATTTTATAACATTTGTTATCTTGCAAAGAAAGTATAGACAAGCCAGTGCCACCTATAAGTTTAATATCTTTTGATAGATTTTTCTAACTGACTGACTACAACCTGGAAGACTTTCTGCCATTGATATTTTGGTTAGGTTTCTTAATTAAACAGGCATTATGTAAGAGCTAAATCTGCCTATTGCAAATGCAAATGATGATCAGCTGCTTATAAGTGAGAATTGCATAATTTCTAAGAAAGTCAAAACATAATCATTTCTATATCTATTAATTAATAGGTTGTTAAATCATTACTATAAAATCATAGGAATGATTCTAGCACTTAAAAAATATTCACATAAAAATTTGAAATAAATTCTACTCGCCGACGGTATTTGGAAATTGTATTATTTCTTTGACTGGAAAACTAAGTCTACACTGTGGAAGGCATAATAACACCATAAAATCAAATGTTGGATTTTAAAAGAAAATGAAAGATTTGCCTATTTCTCAACTAACACAAGTGAATTATAGGATTTAGGATTATTCTTCAACAAGGTAGGACTGTGTGTATAGATGCCATGTATTTTAAGGCTTTATTTAAGCATATTTTAAATATAAGACTTAAAAAATGCAATTCTCGCTTTAAAATGAAAAACAGAAACAAATCAACTAAAAGTGTGATTGATGCTATAAAATTTTATTCTCTTTACACCAACAGACTTGGTCAATAGATGACAATCTGTTATTTTAATGAAGATAAACAGAAACTATATACAAGTTTGACAAACAATCATAGAGATAAAAATATCCTCTCCATTACTCTCTACTATATACACTGATGATAATAGGCTGTATGATTATTCAACTATAAATAATGAATATGAAACATGAAACTACTTCAATTAGATATACACATTTACTTACATATTATTTACATCTTCTTATGTATATCTATCTTATACACAAGGAATGACCAGATTCTATCTCTAAGCCCCATCCCATTCACCCCAAGGTTTAATTCTCCGTTCCCCTTTTAAGTAGAAAATCAGGAGTACCTGTTATTTAAAATATGATGTATTATACAGTAATTTGTACCAAGTCTCTTCAATTGAAATATTCGGGTTGATCATATATTGTCTTGATTGCCCTAGTCTAAATTGTCTTTGCTTCAAGTGTCTGTCTTCTTACGGTTCACACAAAACTTAAACTGAGAATAGACACAAAGCTAGTTGACCGACATTTAAATTCTCATTTCAACGATTTTAGTAGAAAACGCTTAGCATACTTTGAAAATGTTGAGATTAATTATTTCAACTTTCATATGTAATGAAATTGAACTAGTTTATTTAGTGTATGAACCTTTTAGAACTGCATAAATTATAAGAACACTATTTTTTTTTTTCAATATGGCAGCGATTCAGGACAGAGATCTATTCTAAAAGTTGATAGTACTCTGTGTGTATAGAATTCTTCTGGCTATCTGTGTATACACTATGCATACAGTTCATGCAATGACTTTTGCCTCAATCGACCAGTTTTACCGTATTATGTATACTTCAAATGAAAGATGAATATTTTCCTTCTCAACCAATTGTAGAATGTACATCACCTTTTGTTGGACAATATGTGTATTTAGTCCTGACAATTTGAACTAGAACAACAAAGACTAGACCATACAGTATTATTGTAATGTTTAGAAAATAAAGTCTTGAATGTACCGTATCATATTAATTGTCGGAAAATCTTATTTAACTCTAAAAACAAGATGTTATTTATTATGAATTCTAAAAGTTTTGTTACTCCCCTTGGTAGATATATTCTAACACAATAAACAGCACCTCTTCTGAAAGTCAAATGGTAACTGTGCATATTAATATATAATATAGATCCTGAGTCACAATCACACACTCTTTATTATCAGTCATTATCATAAGACTTACATTTGATATAATATATGTTTCACAATTTGTTTACTAAAATATTCTTACAACCTGGCAAAATGATTTACTTGGACATACAGTATATCTAATTGGCAAAAAACATTTACATGTACTGTTATATGTTCACTTTTGATTACTTGGGGATCCACACGACAATGAATTTAAGAGGCCAAAATATGTGTAATAACCCAGTTACCGTGATCTTTCAGCCATGTAGCTATTTGAGGTTGTGTGTAGTAATGATATGTAATACACATCATGGTTATACCAAGATGTCTAGGGCTTTATTCAGATATATAAATCTCTAAGAATGATAACTTACTATAGTAACCAATGCTTACTATAACCGTTCAGTTGTTATGCTAACTTACTATAGTAACCAATGATAAGTAAGAGATTTCAGTTTTTAGGATAACATAGTATAGTCACCAACAGTAACTAATATATTTCAGTTGTTAGGATAACTTAGTATGGTAATTGGTAACCAATGGTAACTAAGATATTTCACTTGTTATGCTAAATTGCTATAGTAACCAATAGTAATAGTTCAATTGTTAGGATAACTTAGTATAGTAACTAAGATATTTCAATTGTTATGATAACAAGCAATAGCAACCAATGACAACTAAAATATTTCAGTTATTGTGATAACTTAGTAGTATAGTAACCAATGGTAACCAATAGATTTCAGTTGTTAGGATAATTTACTACAGAAACTAATGGTACGATAGCTAAGAGATTTCAGGTTTGGGCTACAGAGTTAAAAAAAAAAAAAAAATTTCAAACAGTCCCTTGTCATGAAAGTCATACTATGACAAGGTAAAACAAAACCCACCTATACAAAGTAATTTAAATAACCATGTTAAATTAATTTGATGACATTTTAAAATTTAAAACATGCACTAATTTATAATTTAATCTCATGCACTTTACTATTACCATATTTGAATCTTTTAGGTTTCATTTCTGAAATCTGTGTTAGAAAATTTTATCACTTACCATTATTATTATTAATATGTGTAAAAAACAAATTAAGTCTACTGTATAATGTAGTTTTTTTACTAAACTTTTTAAACTGAGCTTTTAATAGTTTCATAAATTCGAGATAATATTTTGCTTTTGATTAAAGGTTAAAGATACTAAAATAAATGACTTTTAGAAAATATAAACCCAGTTATAACTATCAATAACTACCAACTTTCTTACACTATTAGTATTAATATTACAATTTACTAAATCTAAAATACTGTTTGTATCACAGGGATATGGGCTGGGGGCTTAAGTCTATGGAATGCCAAATCTACCTGAATTCAATTATTTACATCAGTAGATGTTATAATTTGAATAGATGTATACATCACATTCCATAATCTAAAACCCCAGAGCTTATCGCTTTGAAGCAAATAGTGACTAAATTAATTTACATTGTACATCCAAGTAATAAACATGAAAATAAATAAATAGAATTAATTACAAGATTGCTTTTTCTTCTTGATTTCTATTTCAAGTTAATACATTTAGGCAAAAATAAACTACAGTTTTTTACGTTGTAATAAGGCAAGTAACACACAGTTTCGAAGGACCTATACAATCGTCATGACAAAAGGCACCACACTTTTGACACATAACCATAGCTTTCAAACTACATGCACAACTAGACTGATTTAACAGAGTACCACCGTCTGCTATAGTATTTGAGGTTACAGTTATTGGTAGAGTTGTTCCCCCTTGTAAAATAACATTTGTAATATTCTGACCGGACGTCAGCATTTGAACATTCTGTATGTTTGAAGACGATGACAACACCGGTCTAGCCAACAGATTGGCAACTTGGGTCTCGGTTAATAATTTATTTCCATTGGCTAGGACACTGCTTTCCATCGTTGTAGGGGTACCTTTCACGCTAAAAGTGCCCTGGACAACTGACTGTGACTGATTAGGTTCAACCACAGTTACTGACGGTCGTGTGATAACTTTCATCTGAGACCCATTACGACCTACTGGAATAACAGTGCCAGCTTTGGATAAAAAATTCAGCTGTTCAGGATTTAAGTTCAAGCTGATTTCCTCTTGATTAGGGGTTGGTTGATTATTACTGGTTGGATTATTATTAGTATTCGTGGTATCTACACTTGCTGATCGAACTATCGTTATTACATCAGACGGTCGGTTTACATGATTTGGGGGAGCACTAGATGCACGAGGAGGGGTATTAGCTAAAATTGCACGGACAGCATCCGAAGTAATTATCTGTCCTATTCCCTGAGAATTAGTGGAAGTTATCACATCAGTTCTTGGGGCGGGTATTGTTATTATTCTTCTCGTCGTTGCATTACTGTCAACGAACTGATTTGCACCGACCCCAACACTTGATATACTACTCACTGGTGCATTCACTAGATAAACTGTATTAGTATTCGGTTGCGATAAACTGTTTGTATTTGACGTGACTATAAGAATCTTTTGTTTCGTAGGATCTTTAGTTGGTGTTGTCGTAACAACTTTCGGAATAGTTTTTACTGGTGATATTGCCTCACTAGTAGCTGGGGGTACTGATGTTGTTGTAGTTGTACTCGCCGTTACTAATTTAGACATATTTGATGTTGGAGATTCCTGTTTGATACGACTTTTCTCAAACTCGGCTTTACAAATTTCATGTGAACGTTGTAAATTTGCAAGTTTTTGTTGTTCACTAATGACAGCACTGTGCGATGGTGGACGACCTTTCGCTGGTGATATAATAATAGTCTGAGGTTTTGTAGGGGCCACCGAAACAGAAGCTTGAGGGATATCTGGGGATTTTGGAACAAAGCTTTCTGGCGATAATTTAGCTGGTGGGGGAACAGGTTTCACACATTGAGCTGCTTTCATCTGAGCCTGTTTGGTTCTAGCTTTGATTTGAGCAAGAGTTCTAGTTTGACCACCTGCTTTGTTGTGAGGTGGATTGGGGTCTGTCAACAAACTTCGCATCACCGTTTGTTGAGAGACGTTGGTCTGAGGTACAGGAATAACATTTACTATCGATTTAACGGCTGGTGTTTGGGCTTTATATTGCGCCAATGTCCTGGTTTGACCGCCTAATCTAAAACTAGCAGATACAGTTGCTGTATTTAAAACTTTAGCTTGCGATGTTTGTAATCCTGCCGCTAGTTGTGACTGAATAACACTACCTCCACTCTTTTGTAACCTCGCCGCTTGAGTTTGGGCTCGTATTTGTGCCAATGTCTTTGCCTGAGCTTGGACCGGTTGCCCAGGAATAACTACTTTTTGTTTCTTAACAGGAACAGGACTTCCAGAATCAGAACTAGCTTCAACTTTGACCTCTGTTTTAATCTGCGGAGCTGACGTGACTGTTTTATCCGTGTGCGAGGTAGACGTCTGTGATGTTGTCATAGTTAAAAGTCCTGATGTGACGGGCATACTAAGACTTATACTACTGTTATTAGTATTTAGACAGGCACTTGATGAGGTCGAAGCTTGAAGTTTAGCAGCCACTGTTCTAGACACATCTCTCTTGCGTAACATTTGTGATACCAGCATACTGGATCTATTAGGTTTAGGTTTAACTTGAGGAACTGGTAGAGTTAGCTTAGGTAAAGGTGATGGCCCTGTTGCTTTAGGTACGTCAACCATACTTCTACAAAATACAATAACAGTTTATACATATCATACATAATAATAATAATAAGTTCAGGAGAACTGCTCAATCAAACAGAAACCCAGAAGACACATCACACACGGACATTGTAAGTAATCAACAATAAAAGTACTATTAAATTAAGTAAATGGATCAGCGTGCTGAAAGTAAGTGTCCACTAAGCAATGATGCAGGAAAATGTACATCAAGGGAGGTAACTCAAAACTGGAGCATTTCCAACAGGTATTATATTCTAGTGTATATCATTATTGACTGTTACTTAGTATTTTGAGGAAAGTGATAACAATGTATCAATGAATTTACAATGTTAGTCTTTACACTTAATACAAGAAGCGACCAGTCTTGAGAGAGATAGAGATATGGGGTTTAACGTCAACTTTACACAAACTAGGTCATTTCGGGGCTAACATATGGTTCAATGTTATTTTAATAATTCACGTGTGCGTAGGGGACTTTAGCAATAGGAGAAAAACGGAGGACCCGGAGAAAGCCCACGAGGTTGGACAGTATTGATGGCAGACGTCGGCTGAATCATGATATGAAAGATGTTAACCATGTTGGAATGTTACAATATTAGCTAAAACTAATAAGAATTTGATAATAAATATAGACGGGTGAAAAATATTGTATTATTTAACTGCATCATTGCACAAAATATCATCAACTATATAAGTTTAGAAGAGCAGTATATTTAAAAAAAAGATAGCATATTTGGAAAATAAATAGTTCTTTGTCTTTATAAACTGTTATACCATTATTCACATTAATATCAAAGTATAGAACAGACATGGAAAACCCTCAAGGCTCAATAGACATAGATGAAAGGATGGTATAAATTTTCTTTGCATAAATAAGGACAAAATTCTAATTTATAGACTACATACCTCTGTCCCCATACTGGTTCAAAATGTTTTGCCTAAAGAGGAAAGAAATGAAGTTATATAAGTTAATACAGATACAAATAAAACATGATAAATAAATTGTTGTCTTGTTAACCAAAACTTGTGAAATCGGATCTTAAATTTTATAATTTTCTAGGCCATCTAATTCTTTTTTCCATTCAAATTGAAAGTGGTATAACTTTACAATTTGTGAAATCAGTTATAAGCCATATTTATTTGTCCGATATCAGTAATTTTCCATTTGAAAGTATATTGGTAATCATTTCTGTGTGTTATTATAATATTATACCTTCCAAGGATCTAACTTCATTAATTCTTTCTCCTGTTCTTGTTTTAATCTCTGTTGGTTTTCTGGTGTAAATTCAGCTGGAAAACATAACAAATAATTCATGATAAAAAACTTAGAATGAATACTGCTTGAATAGTCGATGGTCCATACATAAAAGACTATATGGACATGTATTCTATGATTATTTTAGCTGTTAGTATAACACAGCAATGGCAGTGTACCGGTAATAATTGTTGATTAGACTCAGGACAATTAGTGTCCATATTATGTCATATATAGGATTTTAATATCGCTTACCATCAGATAACCTTTCTCTCCATTCTTGACATGCCTTGGCAAAAAACTCATTGTTTAATGCTGTACTACTCATTCTAGAAGAAAAAAAATATAACCTAACATATCACAAACTATATATAAATCGTAAAGATACAATATGTAAGATTTAGCAAAAGAGCTGGTCGTTCTTGCTATAATAGTTCAAAAGTAGACAAAGAAAAATTAATGTATTGGAAAATTCATTCAAATTACTTTATTCTGTGTGGGTTATGGGTGTTGGAAGCTGTAGCGCAGGCTGTTTATTAATGCTAGCAACATTACTGGACAATAGAGACTTGGCCTCTACAGTAAACTTCGCATAAGTCGGATTCGTATAAGTCGGATCTTCGCTCAAATCGGATAAAATCGTTTGGATCCTTTGATTCTGCAAATTTTTCTTATTAAATTTCCACGCACAAGTCAGATCTTTGCTTAACTCGGATCAAAATGTTCTGTCCATTTGACCTAATTCTGGCGATTTTACTTTGTCTAAATCGGATCGGTGGTATGTTCAGAATTTGACTAAGTCCGTACGAAGTTAGGTATTCCATCATTCTAAATCAAATCAGCCTATATGATGCGATGCAATAATAGAATTTCCAGGAAAATTCGAAACCCGCTGTCTGCTGTACGAGAGATTATCCGGGAAAATTTAGGACATTTTTCAAAGATGGCGACAAAATGGAAGTTATCTAATCGTACCAAAACAGAAGTTATTTACTCGCACATATGAACAAAAGCCTGAAATGTGTCTTCAAATCAATTATTATTCGGCTTTTGCAGTTTATTTCTAATCGAGCTAAGATTGAATTTCGGTCTTCGGCTAACTCGGATCTTTGCTTAACTCGGATAAAATTGGTCAGTCCACTTAGATCCGACTTATGCGAAGTTTACTGTATTTATCATTAAACTTTTAGATCTCGCGGGCATCCTAATCTTAAAGTTCTGCCATCTGATGTTCCGAGAGTTGATTATGGGCTTGTCATGTTAATAAATGTCTAAATAATTTACAAAACATTTGAAGCCAAAATAAACACATGCAATAAGCAGATTTCGCTCTAACATAATGCATCTTTTACAGGAAAGTTCCTTTTTATAATTAAGCATTCAATAATCAAACTGTGTAATTTTAGCTGTGAAAAATATTGTCAGAAAAATGCACAATTGGAATCTGTGAATTCAAAATTAAAGAATTATGCTAAACACTGTCATATTGGAGGAATGAATATTATGGATAATCATAACCCATAATGTGGTAAAGATGATACAGCTTTTATATAACAGAAACATTCAATCCATTCAATGTCTATATGTCAACAATTTTTTTTAAAATCCTACATTACAAAATATGAAGCAAGCACAAAGAAATGAATTAAGGATATTGAATTTTACCTAAGATTATTTTCATCATCGTCTAGTTTATCACACTCGGGTAAGTTGGCTATAAGATTCTGTTGATACTGTGGTGGAAGGCGAGCAAATGTATTGGAGTCAATGATCGACTGTTAAAAAATAAAAAATTACAATCAATTAATGAAGAATATGTATAAACATCTAAAGAAAGTTCTTTTATGTGTTTGTGTGCAGTACTACAGATATTGTACACATGATACTTCAACAACTTTCTGAAATTTGAATTGATAAGTTTTGTGTAAATAAATGGAATGGTAGGCTGTGGTATTACTATGGTTACGTTAACCATTGAGCTCTGCCAACGTTTACACTCCTGACAGATTGCTTAGCACTACTGCAGGGTTCCATAAAATTTCCACACTTCAAGTAAAATTCAATACATTTGAGTGTTAACAATTAAAAACAATCAGTAAAATGGTTGTTAGGCAATGAAACATATATGCTCATAGCACATTGTAATAACTCATTATGGAAGTCATTATCAGAAATTGCTGAAATTCAAAAGGCTTCTTCATTGCATTAATGTAACCATATATATCTATGTAAATTTTCAGAAATTTATGATGATAAATGTAGTCTGCAGAGTCTTTACAAGGAATTGTGTAGGACAAACAGACATAGGCAACAGTAATATTTCAATGTGGGTGTACTAAAAATGCCAATTTTAGATGTACACCTTCGCTAGTCAATATAGGGCATAAAATCAGATGTTTGATTATAATATAACCAATGATCAAGCATCAGTTAATTTAATTGTGTAATATTACCTTTAGATTTATATTGACTAAGAATGAATCTGGAGTTAAATCAATGGCCCCTTCTTTTGTTTCTGCTAGTTGAGCATTAAAACTTTTTCTTTTGTTACCTCTTCTTCGGGGCTGGAATTGATTGTACAAAAAAAATCAGTTTTCTATGTATACTTGTTCCCTTTATAAAACTCTATTACAAAATCCCAGTCCTCACCCTCGAAGAATTATTTAAACAAGCTTGAGCAAATTATGAACCTATAGTTGAAAATTCTCATATCAGAAATCAGTTGACCAGTTGTTAGTTTGCTACATTAAGCGGTTTTAACATACATGTAAACATCCCAGTAATTAAAACTTGTAAACTAGCTGACTGGAGGTATATAGTTGATGTATGGTCTGTATTGTATGTGTATTGTGTAACATAACAGTTAACATATATATACGAATATTGTGATTGTAGTTTTATGTTGAATTTAAAATGAGTAGACAAAAGATGATCAAATGCAAGTGGAGGGTTCCAAAAGTACCTTAATACATGTAATTACTGTTGTCGACCTATTCTATTGCACGATGTTTATAGCTATTACTCAATTTGGCAATTCATAATAAGCTCAATTACCATAACACTGTTTATAAGTACAAGTAAGTTAATCATTATTCCTCAAATCCTAATGTCAAGAGGTCAAATACTGGTCACAATACAATCTTCCAACTTTTTATACTCCCACTCACTACTACTACTACATGTATTTAGTATTGAAGATCAAACGGTCCACTTTCAAACAAAATGAAATTAAACATAATGACAATTCTTAATAACATCTTTAGTGTTGATTCAGATTAGTGGAGAAATGTGACTTTAGGACAAAGAATTTTTAGAATTTTTTTCTTTCTTTGTCCATACAAATGTTTCAATTCCTTAACAACAGTAAAAGTTGCACAATACCTTCATACTGAAGCCTGGTGTGGCAGCTAACTTTTCTTGTAATGTTTTAGGTGGTGAGCCCTGTAGTCTAGTACTACCAGACTGTGATGGTCCATTACTTGCATGATTGTTGACCTTATTCCCACTACCTGAAGCTTTTTCTGTGTGTCCATTTGTTTTAGTTTGCCCACTACTAACAGACGTCAAGGTTCCATCTTTCGTAAATGAAGAGATTATTTTGGCTAAAAGGGAAGAAATATAGTTATAATTTCAATCCAAAAGTGCAATTAAAAATCAGTAAGCTTATAGCAACAACTGAAAAGATAAACAATCTGACAGTTTAATCAACACCCCACACCCATGGCTTGATTCAACTGTCTTCTTGTCTGTTATTGGTATAATCAAAATGCAAGCCCAATTAACCTAAAAAGGCACAATTGCTGTATTTAAGGTGAAGGGTGTATATCGTTTCATACCATACATACATCTTGAGTGGTTCCTAGATACATGTATCTCCATAGGAAACAAAACAGGACAAAAGAATCAATGGAAGAATGAGGCCCATTTCAATTAATCTCTCATGTTAAAACTTTGTATAGGCTTTGGCCTTTATACATATAACTTACGTTTTTTGACTCTAGGTGACTGTCTTATGTTTCTTTGAGTATTGAGTGCAGGCGTGGCCGAGGAATTATCTGGTGTATTCTCCTGCATCTTAATGACATTGTGTACAGTACATTAATGATATTAGACAAGAATGACCATTTCAAATCTGAAGGAAAATATTTTAGAAATAGATAAAGATCATTGGAATTCATGAAATGAAATAAAAGTAACTTACAAATACATAGTATTAGAAATCCTGCATTATAAAATCTATATTATGCGATATAGAGGTGTTCAAGTTATTGCTGATTTATCACGCTTTGCCAGAATCAAAATTGAATACAATATATAAATGTATGGTCGGGTACATCATATTATCATTATTTTATAAATCTGTTTTTCGATCAATGATTGTGTGATATTGGATACATGTACATGACTTCCAGTGCTCATCACATCCAATAAATAACTGACAGCTGTAGCCATAAATATGGACCGATATGACTGACCTGTTGATAACAACTGACAAATGAGTCCGGGGCCCTTATTCACGAAAACTTAAACTAAGTTACAACCAAAATTTTAAGAAATACTGCAACTTGACTTCATTGGATATGTGCAAATTGATTTTACTGGTCAGCCAATCGAATTGCAGTATTTCTTAAAATTTCGATTGTATCTTAGTTTAAGTTTTCAAGAATAAGGGCCCAGTTCTTTCATTTTCACAAACTTTTATCTTTATCATAAAAGGATGATCCCTACACCAATTTTTAAAAAAAATCCATGTAACCATTCTGATGAAGAGATTTTATGATAACTTAAATCTGCCCCTTTGAGGTCCCTACATGTACCAGCTATATAATCTGAACAGTTCTAAATAAATAATGTTTTCTAGCGTGGTTTCCTAACTGGCGCAGGATGGAGCACCTGACAAAGACAGCTGTCTAATCATCCGGAGAGGATGAAAAACTGAGGTCTTGTGTACAGATTGTTGTGCACATACATGTAATATATCACTTAAAAGTTGGAATTTAATTTAAGAATAGAGCGTAGCACCGCTGTCTGGCCAAAATTGCCCTCATAACACACTGTATGACGTGTATGCCCATCATCATTAGCCCAGTTGTAGCAGAACAGTAGGATGTTAAACTCCATTTCATTTCTAAATAAATACCACATTTGCAATAGAAAGACATTAAAATCCATCATAAATATCTTACTCCAGATAGTCATGGCATAGCCCTTTGGACAGATAGCTAATAAACAGAATGTAAAATATTACCTTCAATTTTTATGTGTTTTGTTAGGGATGGGGGTATGTCATATAGTCAATAAACTTCATATGTTGTACTAATCAATAAAATACATGTACCAGTAACATAAAAAATGATAAGTGGGTCGATAAATGAGACAGAGAGAATCAAAACTTTTATTTTTCATAATTGTCTAATTTTCTTTTAAAAAAGAAGTTCAAAGGGCATATGGCTCTATTCTTTGGAACCTTGAAATAAACGACAATTGGTTTAAATGAACGTATTAATGTATTATATGAATGTATAAAAGCAATTTATATTCAATTTTTTATTATAATTTCTAATGAATTATGTTGGGTAAAATATGTGAAGAGTCCAGATTAAACGACAATCATTTACACCTAGGTCTACTTAGTCCATTCTACATATTTTTATTATTTTGTCATTTGTGAATCAGCCATTACTAATTACTTTTGCGTTGTCTTGTTGGCTACATTTTCCTCTGATCATTACAAATGACACCTGAAACCATAGAATACACGACCTGTGTACTGATTTTAAAATATACATTATGTCTTATATATTGAATATTAGGATCCCATATTTTCACTGCAAGATAACAACATCGATATTGATTGAAACGGACCAATATTGAATCTTAATTTGTGTTTTTTATTTCAAAACATCTTACTTCTCAGGGACATGGATCATATTGTTATGGTACCATATTTAGAGTACAAACTTTCATGCTCTGTATGAAAGGGATAGTGAACACCAATGAGTATGCTGCCCATTAAAGGCTCAATACCACGTAAAGCTTTTCAAATGTGACTTGGATTTAAAAATATTTTTGAACCCTCTGGACAAGTAAAATAGGATTTAATGGATAATTTAGACAACAGGTAAGACACTAACACATCTAGTACTTAGAATAAGACTATTTTTTTATTTTCTGGAGCTGTCAAGCCAGCGAGAGTGTTATTGTCCCTTTAAAGGATTTCTAGTCCGCAAAATCAGCACTCAATTGGCCCGTACTGATTTGTCGTCACCGACATGTTTCAATGACAATTGATTGTATGTTGCCCATATTGATATTATTATGCACTAGAGCACCTTGTTTGTGATGTCATGACAGCCAGCTGGCTACAGGTCTCTACAGATTTCTTGTCATCGATATATGTATAGGCTATGGTATATTTGTCATTACAGGGCACAAGAACTCAATGATAATAGACCCTTGTTTGTGTAGTTGTACTAGGCCTAGTAGGCCCTCTGGCTCCGTCTGAAATGCATTTCATTTACTTACTACTAGTAGTGTAGAAGCCTTTTTTATTTTTGAATGAAACATTTATTTTACTTAAATAAATGGCATCTACTAAACTCTATAACGATTTCTCTAATAAAATATTGCAAGTTGCTTAATCGTGCTTTTAAACAAAATGATAAAGCTGCAGTTTAAAATCCCGACCAAATGATATTTCACTACACACAGAAAAATATTGGCGGAATTAGATTTTACCTTGAAAACTATGCCAATATTTTCCAAGATTTTCCTAGAATTTCAACCTTTAATGCGAATCAAAGAAGTCTGACGAATGCACAAAATGCTAAAACTCACATTAATAATAATTAATAAGTTATCATTCCATTATTCAACGATCAAAACTAATAAATTCTTGCTTTTCAATAACACAAGCCACAGCCATTATTCTTCATGGGATTCTGGGATTGATGTTTCCGACGAATCAAGCTCGGATATTTCCGTGAGATTCCGTCCGATTTCCGGAATATTCCGTCATTCCCCGGCCGTAGAAACGTAAATAGCGTCAAAATGGCGTCGGTAGGTAAATAATAATAAAACGAAGTTTTATTTATTTTCTTGAATCGTAACAGTTTATTTATAAGAGAATAATGTAATAATATCGTGAAATATGCCAATTGATTATCCATAATATAATATTCATCTAATTAAGAAACAAATATCCATAAACCTAAAACAGATCAGAAGGTGTGGCTGGACAGAATATTAGAATCGAGCAGAGACTGAAAGAGGCCCTAAAAAGTCAGTCCATCTTCACTGTTTTGTCTCACGCTAGCTGTGCAGATACAGGTACAGTGAACATCCATGTTACTGGCAGGCTAGTCAAACTTGCCATCTTAAAGGAGCTAAATCGCAAATATTTTGGACCTAGAAATTGACACAAATGGGTCGTAACGCAAATAATGTAATAGGAATAGGCTATATATAAACTGATTTACATTCAATCGTTTCCATTTTTACTCTAATTTCAAATCAGTTACGTTTGGCGAAATATGTCAGAAGTCTCTAGCGCATGGTTATCCTAGTCTACATAGTATTTATTGCGCATACTCTCCCGATATGAATATGCCGTCACCGTTTCACATGACTTGTTGAATGTCTAGCCTCGTTCTTCGAGTCCCTTGTTAGAATGGGCCTGAAAAGCATTATGGTACATGATTCGTGTAGCAATGGTAAAATGTTTATTTTGTCTTAAATATTGGATATCAGAAGCCCATCTTTTCCCTGTAAGATCACAACATCAACGTTGATTTAAATTGACAAAAAATTCGTGTTTTCAATGTCGGAGATTTTGGATGATATTTAGTTAGAGACTTAGCTACTTTAACATCTTTTTTTATGAGATATCAGCCAGTTTCAAAAGAAAAACACCCAGACCTTTTTGAATAATTTAGAGTCATTATTCTCCTTTGATGTTTAAGCTGATTGAATCCCTATTTTGCATCTTTTACAAACAAACAACCCCACACATTCTGAAATTTAAATTAAAAAATATACGTTTTAAACTTAAAGACAAAGTTTTCACTTAGTAGTGCTTTCATAACACTACCGGGTACAGATAAAATTCTAAATTGATTTAATATGATTATTGATTAAACTTCAGATAAGAAGATAGTTTATTCTTTTAAAGTAGTGACTTTCCTTGACAATATGGATGAAGTGTCAAATACATGATGGATGCTAATTTATGCAGTCAGACTCAGATTTTAAATTTTAGTGGATATCGTAAATTTGCATTGTTTGTTCCATTAGATATATTTTATATTCTTATTTACAGGTTGGATAGTATAAACTACATAATACCTAGGCACTGGTATGGTATGATGAATAGAAAAATTTACCAGAAAAACAAAAATAATATGATATTGTAAAAATGTCGGTGACAAAAGTTGTTAAAGTTGAAGATGTGGCTGGAACCAGATCCTCACCATGTGATGACCTTTTTAACCCAGATACTCCTACACAAACTGCCTCAAAATCAAATTCTATAGGTAGGTGTTATAAACAGATATGGAAATAAGGAACCTGTCACAGACAGTGTTAGGCACAATTAAGGCTTTGTCAGGCACAATCCCTCTGGTGCCAGGCATTTTGTCTTGCAAGTTAGTTCATTATTGCCTAACATTTTATCAGATATAAAATGAAATGATGTGGGGTTTAACATCCTCCTGTTTTAATGAAGACAGGCATATGCCATACAGTGTGCTACCGGGAAATTTTGCCCGAACAGCAGTGCTATGGCATACCCTTATATCTAATTCCAACTGCCAAGTGTTCTTTTACATGCATACCAATGTGTAGGTTACACAGCATGTTGGTTTTCATTACATCCAAATAACTATATATGTTATCCCTTGCCAGGGAGGGGGTTGATGGCTGAATGGTTAGCGTGCGTGCGCTGTATCATAAAGTCTGTCATTGAGTCGACTGGCGTGGTTTCGAATCCCCGGTTCTGTACGTAACAAGGAATAGGGTCGCCTGTCCAACCTCATGGGTTTTCTCCGGGTCCTCCGGTTTCCTCCCACTGCTAAAGACCCCTATGCGCAAGCGAATTATAGAAATAAAATTGAACCATGTTAGTCCCGAAATGACCTAGTTTGTGTCGAGCGGATGGATGTTAAACCCCATTTTTCTCTCTCTCTCTCTTTATCCCTTACCAGTCTCTCCGCCACTTTATCCAATACAACTAAAATGATTATCTTCTGACTTGTTATAACAATATACCATGATAGTGATCCTGATAATTAGTTAGAAGATGATTATGTAATCTATAGATTTAATTTAATATTTTAAAACCAACCTATAATGAGCTCACTAACTAGGAGGTCCCAGGTTTGACCAAGAAAGTATCTCAGGATTAGTCATTTGGATAGGACTGTAAATACCCACTGACAGTTGGCGTATGCCCGTCTTCATTTAACTAGTTTTTGCAGAAAAGACGATAAAACCCTATTTCAATTCAATATATTTCTAGAATTTACAAGAGAGTAACGCCTTTGTTTATAACAGTTTCAAATTTGTCCTTTCAGTCATTCCCTTCCTATTTCTAATAGTTCATTGTTTCAAATAGTACTTTTAATATAATAAAATAATACAGCACTATTATCTCAAATACAATATTTTAAATTTTTAGTTACATTTACCAATGAAGATTCCAGCTCTATTATTGCAAGAGAAAGTCCTGATGGGGCAGAAGATAAACAATTGGTACCCAAAGGTATTTAATTATTCTTCAGATAGAAATTTTCAGTGTACTATATACTATGACAAATGATTACAATAATATTAATAATAATTAGATTTATTAAAAATCAATTAACAACCACTTTATACCATAGACTTATTATTCATTTGACAAACTGGAGAATTAACTCTGTTATTTCTGTAAATCTGGGTTGAAAGTGCTGGATGGAGAGGGGGGGGGGGCAGGAGGGTGAAGGTGGCTTGTGAGAATTACAGTAGTTCATGCAGTCTGTCATTGAGTCAAATGGTGTGGTTTCGATTCCAAGCTTGAGCGTGGCAAGGAGTAGGGTTGCGTGTATTTTCCTAGTCCTCCGATTTCTTCCCACTGCTAAAAAAACCCTGAAATTGTACCATTATGGTCTATCCATATGTTAGTCCAGACATGATCTGGTCTGTGTCGAGTGGACATTAAACCCTATTTCTCTCTCTCTTATAAACCTGGAAAAACTGTAGACCAAATACAGTTGTTTGGACAGTTTAGAATACACTTGTTTTAATAAGTACTCAATTGACTTTACAGAAGAACTTCCAGTTAGTTTATATCCACTACCAGAGAATTGGCCACAGATACCTCAGTTAGATGGACGTCGTAGTTGTGAATTGACCAACTCTACCTTACCATGTGTAAATAAAGCTGTCTCACATCTACAACTTCTACAGAATATAATCAATGACTGGTTTATTCAAGCTGAAGAAGAAATCAAAAGTCGTAAATCTAGCAGACGTCAATCTGTTCAGTCAGAACTAGTAGCAGGTATTTAATCATCTTGCTTTAATTCTGTACATCTTATCAAGGCCTTCTTGTTATACTAATTTTCATTGGTTCCTGAAATGTCTAACTGTGATAATCAAGTTGCAAAGTTCAAGGTTAGTTCAATGTCAAGGTTGCTGGAACTTTCCACTTTTCGGCCATAACCCACTCCACATCTTAGTCCAACCCTTTCTAATTTACTTTTTGTTCTTCCATTATGCTAGTAAGGTTGCCATTCTTTGGTTTTCTGTGAGTTTTTCAACTCCCAAAAAAGGTGTCAATGGTTGAAACAAATCTATTCCTTTATGTGTTTGTATCACGTGTCTGTGGTAAAGGGAGAAAAATACTCCAAAATTTGGGAATTTCAGACTAACGTAGCAACGGCTAGATGTTGTAAAAGTTGGAAAACTTGCAGTCGTTGCTTCAGGAACATAGTATTTTATTGGCTTTCTTGCTTTGGTTTAGATCTATTTGTCCAGAATATTTGTCAATACAGAATATAGAAATTGTATCTATTCTCTGCCATTTTGTGTTGAGTTCACCTCCATTCCGATCAACTTGGACTGCAGTGCTGGACAATTTTCCACTCTGGAAGAATTGATGTACTATCTTAGACTTTAAATTTCTTAGTTGTGTAAAGTGGAAGTTAAAACCTTCCTCTTGTCCTGTTTATGAATTGAGTTGTTCTTATGTTTTATATTAAAGCATGTATTGATCTAAATTCTAAGCTGAAATCGCTTTAGGTTAGAAACTTATTGCTCATCACTTACCCAGACTACATAACCCACAATTAATAGATCACTTTATATATGGTGGGGGAAACATTTGCCAGTTATTTTGTCATCTCTGTACCAATGATTGATGTAGGTTTTATAAACATTACTTTAAACAGAACTGCCTAGACTTGTGTTTAAAACTAATACATCAAAGCAATTACTGGCCTTTCTCATCTAATTCTCCTCTCTCATTTTATGCTATGCTTTAAACTTTAAAGGGACATAATACTAAAACTCAATTGTATTTGGTCCTTCATTTTCATAGAAATAACAATGTGTAGGCTATAACATTACAAAACCCCAACCTCTTAATAATTGGGGGGGGGAGGGAGGGTAGCTATAATCCTGATAAGTAATTGAAGTAAATTACCAAGAGTAGGAAGGTGGGGGGGGGGAGAGACTGGGTGAGAGGTAATTTAATTGATTTGACCCCTTTTAAAACTTGCTATCTGTTTACATACACAGTTACCTCACTTGTAACATCAAAGATTTCTGACAAAAAATTCATGTACTGTAGTTTAGCTGACAAATGCCTCTTAATTTATAATAGGGATGGGGCACCTTTGTATGGAAATATTTTTTTATTAATTCATTTAAATTTTAAAACCAACGGTTTTTATTTAGAATTATTTCCCTTTAACGGTAACACTATTCTTTACTATAAGGAAATACTGGTCTATTATTTTCAGATAATAATGTAATTATATATTATGTTAACTTATTTGGTTTCAGTCTCACCTCAAAAGAAACAACTGAGATTTTCCGATGAAAGGGAGCTAACTCCAAGTAAAAAAACTGACTCTATTGCCGGTTCTGTAGCAGGGTTTACTCTGACAGGTACACCAGATTCAACAAGTCAAAACCTGTCTATTCAAGGTGTTGGGGCAAAACTTGATGAAAGTAAGATTTGTTTGAAATTAAGTGTTTGTATGTTATGTCAGTACAATACTAGATGAATTAACACAAGGGACGCTTGATTCTGGGGTCAGACCTCCTGAATTAGGAGATTATCTATCGACAGCAAGATACTGATAATAATGATTCCATAATTTTTAGTAGGATGCCATTATTGTGCAAGACATGTCTATGATATTTACTGACCTTAGTATAATGTGGGAGACACAGTGGCTCAGCGAGTAAGAAGCTGGCTCACTAATCAGAGGTCTAGGATTTCACTCCCGGTGTTGCCTGAGAAAGTTCCTCAAGATTTTTCAGTGTGGTTCCCTCTTGTCTGTGGAAAATGTCCTTCATAGTGCAAAGTATGACTTAGCCCGTGTGTTTTAGCCCAGGAGGTGCTGAAAAGTAGGACGTTAGTCTACATTTCATTTCATTAACCCCATCATTCAAGTTATGTTGCTCAGTGAGTATGATTCTCGTCCACTAGGAGATTCCGAGTAACTTAGTTCCTCAGGTTCTTCCAGTCAGGTTTCACCTTGTTTGTTGTGCATTATGAAGAGACTGGCATAGAAAACTATCTGCTCCCAAAAAATGGGGATTCACCGATGTAATCTTTGACGTGCATATTAAATAACCCTTGATAGTTTGAATTTGTATGCAGAAATGCAGTAAACAGTAATGCCACTATCAAGCAAATTTTCCCTTATAGTACTTTTCATGACTTATACTCCATTTCATTCATGTTCTATTCAACCCCTACTTATTAAACAGGCATTATGTAATGCTAGGTTCTCACTATCACGATTAATTGTGGTGATCCTATCAGGTCTTATCATATATTGAGGTCAGTTGTAGCAATCGTGTTGGTCGTATCGAACGTTTCTGCACATAATAGATCGTGGACTCATTGGGGACAATCCTATTGTAACGCATTGCATAAGAAGTAAATCTGCCTATTGCAGGTCTTTCTTTTGGCCTTAAATGTTATATAAATTATTAATTAAACATTTATTAACATGACAAGACCATAATCAACCCAATGAAACGGTTTGTTCCTGCGAGTTTTTGACGTGAAGTACACGAAACTGTGGATAAACCACTAGGAACATTGGTTAATCAAATGTCTGACGTCACGGTCAAAAGCTGCTCGTATGACCTCTGACGTGACTCTGCACCACAACCGGTCAGATCGTCATGTAGTAGAGGCCATCAGAAGTATAAAAAAAAACGAAACGAAATATAGATATTTATTTTAATCAGATTGCACTTTATCTGTTGTCCAAATATCTATGTACCTGGTAACCATCATTCAGAAAAATGTATTTTCAATTTTTTTTTTTAGGTATAGATATTGTGGAGCCTGTAGATGATGAGGCTGCTTTACCGTATTTAGGAGCAGAAGATGTCGTAGAAGAAATTATAACATTGTTAGCTAGATTAGAGAAAGATAGACAAGAAACAGAGGCAGAATGGAAGAGAGAGAAGGGAAAAGTTTCTCTACTCACACAAAAAATAGATGGTTTATGTTTAAAGAGATTAAGAGAATTACCAGCAATTGTTCAGAGAGGTAATTAATTATTTTTAATCCAATAAACTGGAAAAGAAAATGGACAAAGTAATATGAAAATTTTTCTCCAGAATGGACAGCAATGTTCAGTATAAGTTGATTTTCACCATCATGACTTTCAATAGTGTTGAATCCCTGGTTGTACGTGACAAGGAGTAGGGTCGCCTGTCCAACCTCGTGGGTTTTCTCCAGTCCTCCGGTTTCCTCCCACTGCTAAAGACCCCTACGTGCAAGCGAATTATCGAAATAAAATTAAAACCATATGTTAGTCTCGAAATGACCTAGTTTGTGTCGAGTGGATGTTAAACCCCATTTCTCTCTCTCTCTCTTTCAATAGTGTTAATAAAGTTCTGGTGTAAGCTTATTAGAATATAAAGATCTTACTGCGATGAAGTTATCATCTGACTTCAATTTTATAATAAAATCATAGTATTTCCCCGATGTGGAAGCAGTTGTATGGTATGTCTCGTCAGCCACAGTTTAATGCAATTTAAACTTATCAGTTGATAGAAGTATATAAGTACTTGAAAAGTACTTTACCAAAATGCAATAAAAATGTGGAGATTTCTTGAAAATACGAAAGATAAAGGGACGACATTATCTATCAATGAACTTAAATGCTATTCAAAATATGTCTGATAGAACGCTACATTTACCAGCTGTGTGGTTTTTAATTTTTAGAACATGAGGCTTGCATATTGGATTTAAATGAATTGCAATGGCACGTTGCCTACTGTAGCAGGAGTGAAGCTAGAATCAAAGACAGAAAAGAAATAGCAGAAGTATTGAATGCTCGATTAAAAGAAGACATTGCTTTTGTTAAAAGACACATGTAAGATCTATAATGTAAACTTACTATATTTATATTTTAGTTATTTCTTTTTATTCTGATATTTAGTTGATCATGTTAAATGTTAACTTTTGAGAAATGACTGGTGATTAACACTCTAGTTTGCTAATTTATCATTTATACTTGATAATGATAGGAGAATACTTGTTGAAATGGTCGTGCTATATGTGTATAAACCAGTGATTGTTTTCCATATAAATTGTGTTGTGTTTTTTAATGTGCTCGATCACTAAATGCCACTCAAGGATTAGATTAACACCCTAGTTATGAACTTTTATAAAATGAACTTTGTTTGATATCAACAATCAATAATTTATTTTTAGTCCTCTGGTACAAGAAAAACTATTGTTAGAACTAGAGGCTATGGATAAAATCAAGAAAGCACAGCAAGAGGTATTCACACTATTATTATTCATACATTAAGATTTGACATAATACTTCGGTCATTTTGATTCTAAGATGCAGGTTGTTTTTTTTTACATTTGACATTGAATTCCGATGTTCAACTGTTCTTTTATGTGCACTTATTTTCTCACATTGAACTTATAATCATAGAAAAGGTAAAATTGTATGTTTGTTCAAAATTACATATCGAGTAGAGTGTTGGTAGAACCTGAAATATGCAACTCACATTAATAATATACTCTTCAAGTCAGTCAATTATTCAGTCTTTAGACCTAGGTACCTCAGTCAAAAAAAACCTCTTTATCCCAATTTATTTATATATGTCAATTCTAAATCTAATTTGACCTGTGTTTGTGAAATAAATACCTATTTTTGAATAATTTCCATACAGGTCTGGACATCTTTGTAATGTATTTTCTGTGATTGTATTTGTTTGAAATTAGATTGTAATTATAGTCTTTATAGTAAGATAGTATTTTGTATTGACTTTTAGAATCGTGTGAACCATCTGGCTTTTTGGGCGGTTCAATGAAATGTAAACAGACAAATTTTGCAATTATTAACTGAAATCAATTTGTTATTGATTTTAAACAGACAAATCAAGAGTTGGAGATGACAAAACAAAGACAAACTAAAACTGAAATAAAGAATTTAGAAGCTAATAATAAAGCTGAAACAGAACGAGGTCATATAAAACAAGAATTAGATACTGTTAGAGATAACCTTAGTCAGATCAAGTAAGTAAAATCACAAGTTTTATATTTATACAAGTTCTTAAACTTTTTACATACTTCTTACATGGTGGCTCGGAGGGTAAGCACTAGATCATTAACCCTGTGTTCAATCCTAGTGAGGCTGGGGGATGGATGGCCGAATGGTTAGCGCGTGCACTTGTATTATAAGGTCTGTCAATAAGTCAACTGAGGTAGTTTTGATTCCCCTGTTGTATGTGACAAGGAGTAGGGTCACCTACCCTCCCTTTTTCTGCCCACTGCTAGAGACCCCTACGCAGAAGCAAATTATTGAAATAAAATTGAACAATGTGTTGGTCCCGTTGGTCTCTCTCTCTCTCTCTCTCTCTCTCAATCCTAGTGTTGCCCGAGAGAGGAATCTTGGTTGGTGTAGGATTGAGCGTTTGCCAATCAAGAGCATTTTATCTTTTGGGTGGTATGACAGATAGATGTCAATTGTATACCATCGGCAGCAAGATCTCCTGCAGGTTGGAAGTTGAAATTGGATAAGGTCCATGGTTAAACAAAATTAAGATGTTTACAAGTGTACATGTGTGTGTAAATTATTTTGTTAACAAGCTTAACATGTGCATCAGAAAGTAATTATTTATATTTTATAACATTTAAATGGGTTAAACATTTATTTTGTAGTGTCACAATTTATTGAAGTTCAATTAAGAATCCTTTTGATCAATTAATAATTCATATTTTCAAACCATTCCCCCCGTCTGTTTTACAGTGAGGAGTTAGTTGCTGCTAAGATGACACACAGTGCTTATGTTCAGCAAATTAATGATATTGAAGATAAACTGAAGAGTAATACACAAGAATTATTGATATTAGAAGTAAAGAGAGAAAATGCTTGTGATTCAGCTGAGCACCACAATGCGAAGGTATAATGTCTAACTTGTTGAGCACCACAATGCTAAGGTATAATAATCTCTAAGGTATAAAACTAGCTGTGCCGCTAAAGCATAATATCACTGCTATAGTAATGGCTGCTATTTTAGACTGTCTAATTCAGAAATACTTCTTGTAATTAATTAAATAGTAAGTGCAGGGGGACCACACCACACACAAACAATTACACAAGATAAACCTACGGACAGGACACAATATAAAGACACCACAAACAGCAAATGCACATACCAGATCATGTGAATGGATCCAGTAGCTACCCAAGCGTCCATTGCGCTGTACAGTCCCGGGCCTGTAGTGATACATGCACTTCAATCAAAATGAAAAACCAATTAACATAAGTGAAACAACTCAAGAAAAAGTAATACATTCATCTTATGAATAACATAATATTTCCAGGTGAAAAGTTTACATGAAGATATAGAGAAAGAAGGAATAGAATACAATCGTCTTCAGAATGAAAATATCTTCTTAGAGAAAGAACTCAACACAACTGTAAGTAATATTTATAAAGTCTTGTACATTAACTTATAAGGCCAAATAAAAAAAATATTGTGGCGTGGTTTTCAGATAATCCTGCGTCATTTAAAAAGATTTGCATCACCTGTTTTATTTCAAGAAATAAAAAAAGAAACGGTGTCTTTAATTACTGCACTTAGATATTTTCCCCTGGTTACAGTCCAGGAAGTAACTGTGAAAATATTTGAATGAATCTGAAAATATACCGTAGGCTTAATTATCAAATATGCAACCCTGATAAATTTTATTGAAATCATAAATGATACTGGATAATCATACAATCAACAGTGTGATGTGATAAATTTAGTGTCTTGAACATCATTTAGCCCACAACTAATCTTTTGATAAAATAAAGACATATAAACAAAAACCTCCACCCTGGATCAGATTTTTGGTAAGGATTGTCCGAGAACCGGAATACTGAATTTGTATGGCCTACTACTTTATTTTAATAAATATTTACTCGAATATTATGTCTAGTCTCCAACATAAACAAATATATTTATTTACTTTTTTATAGAAAAATCGAATAGCCCATGAAGTAAGTAAACTAACGGCCACAGTTAAACAACTAGAAGGCAAGATTAGAACTCTTCATTTACAAAATCAGGAAGCAGATATGGAGATTCAAGATGGGGAAGATAAAATCCACAAATAGTAATTTCTATTATTTTTTTCTTCTGTTTTTTTATAATGTCTGTTTATTTGCTTACATAACCATTTTCTTGTGCCTGATAGATTTTCTGGGGCACTTATGTCATGACATCAAAGAACCCTAGGTAGTTTGAATCCAGTTAAGAGTAGGCAAAATTTCCCTCATGTCTGGTCTATCTTGATTAGCCATATTGTTGCAGAAAAGTAGGATGTTAAATCCCATACCATTTCGTTTTATTCTTTCATTAAGAATCACTCGTAATTCAAGGTGTAGTGTGTTATTTTTATTTCTTACTTGACTTATACTTTAAAGGACAAATCCTGCCGTAGGAGCTTCTTCTTATTTTATTCATTATCTAATATTAACACAGTCTCCATGTCTCAGAGTAGAAATTGTTTTTTCATTCACATGGCTAAAAATTTATGCTTTACATTTGACAAAAAATAATCACGGATGTGAGTACTGGTAAAAATTATTTTTTTTTTTTAAATTGTTTTCTTTGATACAGTGAGAAACAGAAGATTGCTGATGAGAAGAACATGGCTAGAATAGAAAAAGAAATGACTAGAACAGCAACTATTATGAATGCTACTATAGACGAATATAATCAAGTTGCTTTATTAAATCTATCTATTAAGGAACAACTTAGTAACGAGGAAGAAAAAATCTTTAGATTAGAAGAAACATTAAAGGTTAGAATATTGATTTTACCAGTTTTATATTGTTCACATAGTGGTTACTTTTGCCAGGGTAGTGGCACATTTATCTGTGCTTATATTGTTATATTAATAATTTGTTGTGTGATCTTGACCTTCAATAAGAGTAGATAACATATTAATTACACGGTTTTGCCCATACCGTTTTTAGGATTTCGAATTTTGTCTAATGGTTTGGATTATTTGTACTTGGTTTTTATTTTATTTTTATAATACATATATCCAGTCATTGTCTTTAAAGGCAGGCGAGCGATCGCTCTCAAGCGCCTCCCCCGAATGTCGACTGAGGGGAGGTTTTTCTCTCTCTCTTCTTAAAATTGAAAATCGCTCTCCTTTACAAAGTCATGGTGGGTTTATTATCATTTATGAAGCCAGGAATGAACCCATTACATGCAGTTATTGATCTAAGAACCATTTCGCATGCACATAACTAATCACTCTCCTTAATATCAAATCACTCTCTTTAATTTCTAAATCACTCTTCTTATCGAAACTGGTAGAGCTTTTTTAGGGGAGCGATTTTTTCAGTTTGTTGAGCTTTTTTTGACTCTCCTCTAAAATACAAACAACAACGACTGTATATCATGTATAATATATAATAAATATTTTGTGTAAATAGAGAATCTCCTACCAGTCTTTTTTGATATCAAAAAAGACGAGTAGGAGATTTTATTTATCACCCAATCCCTTCTTACATGCACAAATAGATAAATATAATTCTTTGCTGTAGATTTCACTTTTACTGAACATTAAGGCGTAGTGATACATCATTTTTTGACAGCAATTCTAACATTGCAAAGTCCTTTATATTGACCCAGTGTTTCCATCAAGGTCAATTGAATAATAATAGTTCATTTTTAATAAAAAAAAGTTACTTTTAATAATAAATGAACTGTTCTTTGAAAATAAAAAAAAGTAGTTCCTTTTCAACTGACCAATCAAATTCATGTAAAGTGATATCTCCTGAGGAGAAATCGCATTAGATTATGAAATATATCACACAAGCGATATCTACTGTAGAATGTATTATTGGGTGATAATATATAATATATATATCATGTGTAAATAGTGTAGTATATAATAAATATTATGAAAGATTTCGGACCTTGATCTGAACATTGAAACCTTACGTAATTGTGTATTTAATGATATTTAATTACAGAATACTATTGAAACATTAACTAGACAAGTTAAAGATGAAATACATAATAGAACAGTATTACAGGCTCGTATTAACTCAGATAATACAGAAATAGATAGAACAAGAATTGAATCGGCTAAAAAACAAGATAAGGTATGGTATTATAACTATAGAGATATGTGTACCCGATCGTAAGGTAATTGAAGTTATTAAGCATCTTCAAGAATCGGTTATATAACACCCTGTTTACTGATCGCCAAGTATTGTGTGATAAGAAATGCTAATAAACTGCTACTCAGACCATATCAAAAATACTTATTTGCTTTCTGAATCTCAGAGTCATCTTCTTAGTGAAAATTCTATTGGAATTGATGTAATGTATCCCCCCTTTCCATCGAATATCTATTGATTTTTAAGTAATGTTCAACCCTGTTTTCACCCAATATCTATTGTTTTTAAGTAATGGGAGCCACGGTAGCTATGTGGGTAAGGCGCTGGCTCGCTAGCCTGGAGGTCGGGTGTTCCGACGTGGTTTCCCCTTGTCAGTGATGCAGGACGGAGGGCCTGACAAGGACAGCTGTCTAGTCCTTCGGATGAGATGAAAAACCGAGGTCCCGTGTAAACATTGGAATGCACGTAAAAGATCCCTTGGCAGTTGGAATTCGATATAAGAGTAGGCGATAGTGCCGCTGCCCGGGCAAAATTTCCCTCATAGCACACTGTATGGCATATGCCCGTCTTCATTAGCCCAGTATTTCATTTCATTTTAAGTAATGTGCAACCCCTTTTCCATCCATGACACAATATAGCCTGGTCGGTGCGGATGTGCCATTAAACTACATTTCAGTCATTCTTTTCCATGCAATATTATATTAATATCTATGTTATTGTGAACCATTCTTATCAATATCATGCTTAGTCATTGATCTAGCTAGTATCTTAATTGAACATAGATTTTCTACCATTAGATTTTCATAATGTTTTGTTAACATTGTTCATTCATTTTAGGCGGGAAAAGTAGCAGAAGATGTGGATACAGCTGTAAATACTGTATTAACTAAAGTAGAACGATTACGATCATCAAAGGAAGAGAATGAAAAGGTAAAGAGAAATAAATTGAGATCTTAGTCTCAAAAAGTAATAAAGCTGCTTCGAATCCCTGCAAACTACAATATTGGGAAAGTTGATTCTTGGAAAGGAATGTCAGTCTAAAAATTGTCCATTTTTACAGTTAATCATGAACAGCCGTTGAATGGCAGATTGCATTCAAATCTGTTTAAAATTGTACCCATCAGATGGCATCGAGTGTTGATTATGGTCTTGTTTTGTTAATAAATGTCTAATTAATAGTTTATATAACATTTAAGGCCTAAAGAAAGACCTGCAATGGGCAGATTTAGCTCTTGCATAATGTATGTTGAACTAAATGTTAAATAATCAATTTGTGAGTACATTCTAGCTTAGATTAAACTGTAACAAATTAGATATTGTCTGAAAAAATAAATTACAATCAGCTGCTTTAAGTTAAACCAAATAATAAGGTAGATAATTTATTGATCTATTATATAAATGTTTAAAACAAGGTAATAATGTTTTAGTTAAAGGTAAACCTGGCGGATAAAATAGAAGAAACCAAGAAACAACATAAAGAAAGTCGCGATAGATTTTTAGAGAGACTCACTGAAATGGAACCTCATCATGTACATTTAAAAGTAAATATTTGTTTTTAATCTTTAAATTAGTGATATGCATTTACTTATAAGAGCACCTTAGACACCTCATCCAAAGTCTTGAGTTGCTAAGTTATAAAGCATTACAGTAATTAACCTTCTTCTTATACATAGATATAAATATTCTGTGAAAACGATTTAACCTAATATCTACCATATTTGATGCAATGTTCACATCTAGAAAAGTAAAGCAACCTATCTTGTGCTAATTTTTGTATTTAATTAATGCACTTTCCACCCATATTTCTCATTATTTTTATCTTTTGCACTGTTCATCTTAATAGTAGATTTAATTCACTAGTTTTATAATCATATTTTGGCTGCTGTGGTATAGTCTATTTAAAACTGACTTACGATTGCTGTTACTCTCATATAAAAATGAGTGCATGTAATTATTATATTACAGGAAGATGTTAAAGTAGTGAATAAGAAGATAGAACATATGACATGGAGAACTGAGATGATGACTAAAAATATAGAAGATATGGATGCTTCCGAGGGTATGATGAACCGTGTAGTTGGCTCAACAGAAAAAGCAATTAAACATCACACGTATGTATACAGTTCTACTATATATTTATATCTCACAGATGACAAAAGTGGGTGTCTTTATAGGTCTAAGGTGCATATGCACATATGGAAATTATATATATATATTTTAAAAAAAATCAGTGTTTTATGGGTGAAATTGGATCAGTACATATAGACATTATATTATAAGCTTAAAAATATGTTAAAGATACATTCCCACAAAAGTATTTATAGGGTAGTTATTTCCAACAAAAGTATGGCAAATTTGATATGGAAAGTAGAGACACCCAATCTTAATAGAAAAATACTGGATGACCTGAAAAACACTCATGAGGTGCATACAGGACAAAAATTTAAGGGGATGACTAATCTAACGGGAAGTCTGTCTCTTGTTGTCTGCTTGAATGACGTAGGGAGCACTTGGGAAGGCATGTTTAAGACCTTATTTATACATCCACTTTAGCAAAGTTCCATTTTAATTTATTTTTGAGTTTTAAGTATATTTATACACTACAAGAAGCCATAATATTTTGTTGATTTTTCAGGGAAGATTTAAAAGAGTTAAATATACAGCTTGAATCCAGTGGTAAAATAGAGAATGATCTAACGCAGGCTTTCAATGAAGTTCAAGGTTTGTTTACTGTAACCAGTTTTGACTTTGCTTAAATTATTTTGATTGTTGTAGGTATTAATTTAATCAATAATAGTGTAATTATGGTTTATATAAGGTAATATAAAATTATATTCTGGTTCTCAGATAGGCCTACATCACTTAAAAAGAGCTGCATGACCAGTGCTGTATAATCATACAATCAACAAAGTGATGGGATAAGTGTAGTGTCTTGAAATGTGATCTTTATGTGAAGTCATTTCGCCCAGTAGCGATTATTTGACAACAAACACGAAAACCTCTCTCCTGTATCAGATTTGTAGGAGGGAATGTCTGAGAAACAGAATATTTTTTTGTATGACCTAAAATATGACCAAATCCGCCTGAATGACGGACATATAACAGGTGCATATTACTGATATAAAATTAACAACTTATTTGCCTTAAAAAAAAGACTTTACCATAATTTCTGGGCACACTCAAAGACGAAAACTTATTCAAGATGTATGAAATTTGCTACTGTTTTTTTTCCCCGGAGCTTTGCTATGTGTTATTAACTTTGAATTGCATATTTCTGAAAATTAAGTTTACAGTTGATACTACCTTCAAAGCCAAACATCTCAGCCCTTTCATACGATAAACACCTCACATACCATTTTTAATGTCTTCGAACACAGAATTGAATTACAATTTATGCATAGTTATGTTTTGAAGTTTTGACATATATGTGTCACATTTAGCAAGGACTTGTTACAAATATGTTTATAGAAATGTATAAAGTATGCTAGCCCTAAATATTTTTATGATTGCTAAAGCTGGAGGTTATAATAACATCAATCAACTCATTAATTATCAAACACCTGTCATTTAAGTAGAAATGACCCATAAAATACACAATTACCTTGAATCATATGACTGATCATTTTAATTATTGATTAAATCATGAAAGATGCATTAAATAATAAGCCTATAATAAACTCTCCAGACAATCGGATGGCCATGATTTAAATGTATTTGAACATTCACGGAATTAAAAAATTTAACGATTAAATGGATAATTGAGACATAGTTTCTGTTGTCAAGTACCGTTGCTAGGATAATAAACGATCTGTGCTACATCTTTAAACAGTCATACCTTTACTTCATCCAGAATAAAGTAATATGAATGAAATTTTCAGTATGTTCATTTTTCATTATCTATTTAAAGAACTATCATAGCAAAAACGGCCAGCTTTTTACTCCTTATCTAAATTTTACATAATGCCTCTTTATTATGTTGATCTTGAGTAACATAACTGCTGCTTTGACAGTATTACCCAGTTTTCAACCTCAAAATGACCTAGCTTTTGATTTAAGTTGAACAATGTAGGTAAAAGTAACCTCACTATGGATGAATTCATACTCTATTTTTTTTAGATCGTATTTATATTGCTGAAAATAGACATAGTAAATTCCTAGAGGAAAGGAAAAATGTATTGAAACAAACTGAGGTAAGTTGTATTATTAAATTTAAATATCTGAAAATGTTTAATAAGATGACTCGTTCATCAGCATCCTGCACCATTGCACAAAAATTAAATCCAATTTGTTTCAGTTCCTAATTAGCAAAAGGTACAACTTCAATAATAGGTTGGTGTATGCATAAACTTTTGTAAAGATATGTTGAGTGGTTCCAGAGATAAACTATGGTATCAAAACCATGATGGATGGAGCCCAATAATGAACTGGGGTTTCCATTTGCTTCTGACATCAAAAATGTATGCAAAACTGAGGTCCTTAGCATACATAGACAGAAAGACAACTTGACAGTTGGTAAAAATAAAAAAAGTCACATGAAACTGCTTGCTACGTCAATATGTAATTCTTCTTTACTTTAATTATAGATGGCAAAAACCACATGTTTAGCTAACAATAAAGATCTAGCAGCTAAATACAGACAACTACAGAATGAATATATTATAAATAAAGAGAAATTATTAAATAGTTATGAAGAAAGAATTAAATATGAAAAATCATTATCAGATTTAAGACAGGTAAGAAGGAGGAATATTTCAGGTGAAGTTAAAAGAGGATAAATAAACAATGATTTGGCTACCTGTTTGTATGTGTCTGGAGGGTGGTTGGGTGGCCACATGGTCAAATGTGTGGACTTTAAATCATAAGGTCTGTCATTGAGTAAGGTGGCATTGTTTCTATCCAAAGCTTGAAGTAGGGTCACTTGTCCGACCATGTTGGTTTTTCTCTGGGTCCTTTGTGTTTCCTACCTCTGCTAAGACCCCTATGCACAAGTGAAATATTGAAATAAAATTGTACCACATGTTAGTCCTGAATGACCTTGTTGTGTTAAACCCCATTTGTCTCTCTTGTAATTGTTCTGGAACGATGTATTAATAAATTACATTTGTTTACAACATTAATTTATATTTGTCATACACATTAAAAACTGTTTTTAATCACTGCAAGCAAGGGCAGATGTAAACAGTAATGCTTTGTCCAGGGTTTTAAGACATACAGTCCAACCAAATAGATTTTAATTTAGTTTCAATGTTACCGTATCTCAGCTTTCAAGAGTTTTATGTTTAAAGTCAGCTGGGTAATATTAATAATGTCTCCATTATAATATCTATACCTATTATTCGAATTGTTTGCTTTTTTTTCCAGTTAAAATGTCTACAGAAGAAGATGCATGGTGCTCTAACAGAATTATATAAACTTAGTGGTAAATACAATGATGCAGAATTAGCTAGAATGGAAATAGAAGCTAGCAGAAATGGTGCCAAGGTGGAAGAATTGCAGGATGAGATGAACCAGGCACTAACAAGCATAACTCATTTCTTACAAACACAGATGGATGGTACCGCTGCAAAGAAAATGGCCTTGGAAGCACTGCAGAAAAAAAGCACAGGTCGAAGAACACCTGTCTCTGTATCAGGATCAAATAATAGCAGTCGTACACCAAAACATACTGTCACAGCCAAAGGATAAAATACATTAAAAATTATATAAATATTTCCAATTTTAATAAAATAAAAAATACATGATCAAATTATTTCACGATCTTGCCAAATATCCAGTATATTTCCTGTATACAATACATCAAGGACAATTACCATAAACAGCAATACTCACCAAATACAAGAGTTCTACCATACAGAACTTGGCTAAATTCTTAGGACTCCATCTTCTCACATAACAAAGTGATTATTTTGTGTTTCTTTTGTAGATTTTTATTATTACCTGGATAATCTTAAGTTACTACAGTCACTGAGGCCAGTAGATATGGAAGATATTTTGCTGGGTAATTTGGATTGTGTGTGGAAAGTTCACATGTTTTGTAATTAAATGATGTGTAAAACTTTTCCTCCAGCAGTATTTACACCCTTACTGTAATATGTATTTATAGAATTGTGGCAAATTATTAATTTCTTCATACTGTAGTATAAATGTTACCCCTAATTTACCAAAAGTGGTATATAAGGCTATACAAAAGAAAAATATGCTGGCTCTCAGATAATCCTTACCAAAAATCTGATGTGGGGGGGGGGGGGTATTTTTTTGTTTTTATTTTGTCAAGGGATCACCACTGCTGTACTGAGCTAAGTTGTGCAGGATTATCTGAGAACCAGGCCCAGAGTTCACAAAGCATTCTCAGACTTCAGTTTATTTTAACTAAAATATAGCCCTTTATAAAACTTTTGTTGTTTTAATGTATCAAATATATCAATAAGTAACTATGTACAAATTTTTGTATTTCTGGATCAAAGATATTTCTCATAAACAGTGACTGAAAGTTGAGTAAATTCTTAACATTAGTCTGAGAATGCTTTGTTAACTCGGGGCCTGAATATTTGTTTCATATTCTACCTGTTTATAATTAGACTGAAAAATTTACATCAGCTAATAATTCTAGAGTCTGTGATTAAATTGTATTTTGTTATTTTTTATATCTGATGATAAAACTGCTGATATTATAATGGTGTTTTCACCAAGAAAAAAGTTGGTTTTAATTGGAGTCATATCATTTCCACCCACAAAGTTGGTTATCGAATGTAAAAGCTGACCAAAATGGTTTTAGCTTTTTATGGGTCTGTGGAGTGGATAATAAATGTGGCTGTTATGGTGTATCTTATTTTTCAAAATCTCAGTGGTAGATAATCTCTCGGGTTGGATTTATCCGAATTAAAAAGGGGCCTATCAACAGGTGATGCTGGTAGCTTTAAGGTTTTATATTATTATTATGATAAATATCTGTGATTTTCTGCTATAGTTATTATATTAATTATTTGACTAATTATTTATGTATATTTATGAATAACACATTACAATAAATTTACATTTATAAAAAGTTGTGAAGACTGATATGTTTAATCTTGTTAGAGAGTTAACCTGAACCATTTATATGAAGCAGGTAATTGCAGTATATTTAGTTGCATACTTTCCCTGACAAAATGTCAAGATGTTTTATAACAAATTTTGTCAGAAATGTTTTTAAAAAAAATCCCTGTCATATTAAGAGAACTTAGATTAATAAAAGTTTAAGCATAATCACAATCTTTATGTTGTGTTTGATAGAGAAATAAATAATACATTTTAGTACAAGCCAGTATCAGCCTATTCTACCTGAAGGGGAGAAGCTAATTGTAGGCTCGTTGGGGAGGTTCCAATCTGATTAAAACACAGATCCTATTTCGTTTCGTTTTGTATAATTCAAAATTTCGTTTTACTTGTCTTTACTACACTAGGATATGGAAGAGTTGTATTCTACTACCTGATCTTAAAATCACCATTGGTAATTCAGAAATAAATTTCTCCAAAAATGTTCGAAACCTTGAAGTGATATTTGATCCTTCTCTGACAATGGACGCTCAGGTTGATATGGTATGCCGTACATGCTACTATCATCTACGCTGTATATGCAACATCAGAAACTATCTCACTGCTGACGCTTGTAAACTACTTGTGAGATCACTTATTTTATCAAGGATTGATTATTGTAATAGTTTACTCTATGGAATCCCACAAGCATTTCTAGCCAAGATCCAAAAGGTTCTTAATACTGCAGCCCGAATAGTAACAAGGACACATAAGTTTGATCACATCCAGAATGTGCTGGCTTCTTTACATTGGTTACCTGCTGAGGCGCGAGTCTAATACAAAATACTAACATTAGTGTATAAATGTCGCAATAATGCAGCTCCTCAATACTTATCTGAACTCTTATATGACTACAACCCTATTAGATCACTTCGCTCTCAAAATAAACAGTCACTAGTTGTTCCAAGATATAATTTGAAGTCATATGGGTATAGGTCTTTCAGTTCAGCTGGTCCTAGATTATGGAACGAACTTCCACAACAGATCAAGAATCAACAAACTTTTAATCAATTTAAATCCGCACTAAAGACTTTCCTGTTTCAACAGTTTTACCAGTAGAGCCATTACAAAAAGCGTTTTGAGCATGTGTCAACATGGAGAAGACGCTATATAAAACTTCATTATTATTATTATTATTATTCATTGACGTGTTCTGAATGGTGTGGGGCCTTAGGCAATGAAACGGTCTGTTACGGCGAGCTTTAGGCTTGTTTTGCACGGAACTGTGGTTAAGCCGCTCGTGTGACCTCTGACGCGACCTATCGCTACAACCAGTCAGATCTTCTTGTATTTTAGGCCATCGAAAGTATAAAAAAACGAAATGAAATATAGATCTGTATTTTAATCAGATTGGTCAGGTTCGAGAATTTTCGGAGTCCACAATGGCCACTTTATAGAAGTGGATATTTTGGGGAATACATCAGCATCTCCCTCACATCAACATCAAAACTCAAATTCTAATCAGTAACAAGGTTACAAAATTTAAAATAATCTGATTAGTGTCTTTTAAAGTCTCTTTAGGGAGTGAATCCATTAGGGGTCAGGAGGCATCGCTACCTTACACTTTTTCAAAGCACTACACCATTTTTTTTTCAGAGTACGGTTTTCTTATTTTCGAAGCACGGATTTTTCATTTCGAAGCATGTTCGTGCTCCAAGGCACGTTATTTTAGGTCCTGTGGAATATATTCTGGTAATTATTATTATTATTATTGTTCGATTTATATTGTCTGTCACATTCACACAAGTACAATTTGTATGTCAGTATGGTAGATAGATTTATTTGAAACAAACATTATACTGTACAACATATGGTAGTATGATACTGGGATCGGTAAGTGCAGTACATTGGAGGATGGTGTTGGATTAGATAATACAAATAACAAGACCAGTTCTTAGTTCACCATCTTGTAATACAAGTAGTCTTTTATTCTCCAGGCACATTATCCAGGCACATAACTATAGACTACAATAAGAACATAGAACTAAAGGGAAGTAATTCCATTTACCTTAATGGACTCAGACAACTAATATATATTATATAACGTCTCAATATGACAGTAGGCTTACAAATATTTTGGGGAATTAATTTATGCGGTCATGCTTAAAGTAGCTAAGCCTCTAACTCAAACCAAAACCTTCGACAATAAAAACACGAATAATTTGTCAATTTTAATCAACATTGGTGTTGTGATCTTACCGGGAAAAGATGGGCTTCTGATATCCAATATTTAAGACAAAATAAACATTTTTACGATTTATACACGAATCGTGTACCAGAATGTGTTTCAGCGCAATTTGTAACAAGCGACCCCAAATTATACTTATCTAGTAGTATCTTGGTGCTTTAACGTCTGCTTCCACAGAAGTGAAAACGCAGATTGCAGACATATTATACTTATCTGGAGAGCATGCACAATAAATACTATCAGTGTAGACTGGAATAACCAGACGCTATTAAGGATTGCCATTCGATTGAGACTTCTGGCGTATTTCGCCGAACATAACTGCTTTGAACGATTGAATGTAAATCAGTTTATTTACATTCATATTACATTATTATATACGTTGCGACCCATTTGTGTCAATTTGTAGGTTCCAAATATTGGCGATTTGGCTCCTTTAAGCCACACCACACACGCACCTACAGTAATTTGTTGATATTTAATCGACAAATTTGTAACCCAATCGATCGTTGCCACGATCCGCATCAAACACCAAACCGGCGCCGGCAGATATGCATCCTGTTATGCAGTGAAGAAGAAAAAAAAAAAAAAAAAAAACACCGCGGGGAGAGACCACAAATAATCGAAATTGTGGTCTATTTCGTACGATCGATATGTCACAAACAATTTAGATATTATGTGGAAAGGCCTAAGGTTTTAAACAAAATGATTAAACACTTTTCCGTCCGCATAACATTGCCAGCAAGTGAAATTAGACGTTTGGTCATATCTTTATGACGTCATAAAGCGCTGTTATAACGGTGAAAGAAAATGGCTGATGTGGTATTAGGTAATAGAGCAGCAAGAGAAAACATATTCCATTTAGATGTAAGAAGAACACCATCTAAATGCTATAAATTATCTAGACAATGTACTAACGATATTAAAAAGGTAAGACTGGCGTTTTAAAAAGACGCGGGAAAAAGTGCAACAGATTTAACTGATTATTCTTGATTAATTAGCCTAATAATAAATATAGCAAATCATAAACGACACTCTAAATATTGTTTTAATAGAATTTATTACTATGGAAACGACAGTAGAATCTTACAAATGAAACGACACTTGCCTATCTTTCGCCGATAAAGAATAAGATACGGATTGTTTAAACAAGAAAAAAAAAACCTCGTGTAAGCTTTATAGATTTTAACGTTGATCTATCTAACATTTTTTTTAAAAATCCATATTTATAGAGTTTATGGATACCCTTCACTTATTATATTCGTTTTTCCAGTTACCCCTTCCTTATAGTGCTATATATATTTTTGTTAAAGGCGCCTCATCTGTATTCAACGTTTTGTCGTTTATGTCATCTGGAGAAAAGGTCCGGTGTTTCAATAATTCCAACGAAAACTAACAACAAACCGTCCGCATTTGAACTGGATAGTAAGCATAACGTTTTTTTTTAAAAAAATTTCACCCAATAAGTAATACTAGTGTATATTAACTGTATTTATGGATGATTGTGTTTATATTCTTTCCTTTACTTGCTAATTATGGATTCGCTTCGAAAAAGACGTTTTTCAAAACATTCCGAAATCAGTTGTTTTCAAGGGCATTTTTATAGTACAGTTAGAAGCAGTGGGATAATACCGAAAAATCACTATTGGTACTATTTGAGAGCTAGAAACTATCAAATTTAGATAAAAATCACATTTATAACACAGAGCACGTGGGCTCCACTTCTTCGAAATTAAAAATTCTTCTCGCGCCCGGCAGGAGACAATCTCCCCGAATCTTCCTACGACCTATATTCCTTAAAAAATGCCCTGATTGTTTTAGCTAAATTTAGGACAGATATCTACAAATAGAAAAAAAATATATGTTTATTTGATCTATTAATCTTTTCTTATTCCATTTTAGTGCACAGTTCATGTCCCCGTAGACTTAAAGTTGATCTTTTAAGATGTCATTGTGATGAACATTCTCTAAACATATTGAGACAATTACACAGCGAAACACCTAAACAATGCCACAGAACTTTGCCGACCAGATGGATGCAAGATAGGTAATACATATGGACACACCCAGTGACAATAAGTATCGAGTTTTGAAGCATTTTTTTTTTTTTACAAAAATAAATATAAAAAAATACAAATAAAAACGTTAATGGTCACTTAACAAATATAGAATATTGTAATTTTAAAAAATTAATATTTATAGGAATAATAATATATCAACTCGCCAAGTGCCACATCAATTATTGAGTGGATGCACAGGATCCAACCTGCGCAATAGCTTCTGCCATTATTTGTTTCGGATAATAATTTCCGCTTTCGCACTTTTTTGTTTGTTTTAGGTTTATGAACGAGGTCCTGTCCAATTTCATAATAAATGAAACCGCGCAGTTGCCGTTGTCAACCATAGTTATAAGATGGAAGCTAGGTAGAAAAATACCAACATATGATAAAGCTGAACTTGTAGGATTGTTATCCATTTATGGTGATGTACATAGTGTATATAAACAAACCCCTAACAGCGCTACCGTCGTCTTTAACGACATAACATCAGCATGTCGTGTGATTCAAACTAAACATCTCGGAGAACCAAGAAATAAAATACATTGTGTTTGGTATCATAAATTTATGAGTAATAAAGCTTTTTATACAACTAGCAAGGGACTAAAGGTTAAAAGTGATCCCTACATACAGATCCACAACGCCACAGTAGTTAGACGATAAAAGTATATATATATATAAAAAAAAAAAAAACCCCAAAAAACCCAACATGTCTATTTGTGAGTAGAACAAACGGTATCGATAGATTTTGATTTTAAAAAAACAACCCCAAAAGTGAAAGGTTTTGAATCCAATGACTGCAATTCATTGCCATTTGATTTTTAAAGATTTTTTTTCTTCAAATGATCAAATTATATTATTAGTGTTAAATGTAACGTTTCTGGAATAAATTTATTTATATTGACAATTTTGTTTCTGACCACTTCTTGTGTATTTTCTAAACGGACGAATTAGAATTCTTATTTATTCTCCAGTGTGAAATGAATATCATTCCATGACTGCAATACAGTGCATTCTCCAGCAACAAGAATAGAAATTCTGATTTAATGTGGCCCAGATAGGCTACCATCTTTGATGACTTTCAAATGAGGAGGATGGGAAAGTACCTAACATATTTTGGCCATCTTTGATATGGCAACAAAATTGACCAGCTAGAGAAATTACACAATCAATAAAGTTATATTTATAGATTTCATGACTAAATCTAACCCGTGTTTGCTCCTTGTATTGGTCGAGAAAGTTCCTAGGGATTCTCCAGCGTGGTTTCTCTTGGTCAGTGGGGCAGGGCAGAAATTAGAGTAGGTCGTTTTGCTGTTGTAGGGGCAAGGGGCAAACTTTCCTTCATAACACAATGTATGGCGCATGCCCTTCTTCATTAGCCTGATCCAGAAAAGTATATTGGGACTTGAAGGCTAAGAATGGTCAAATTCTTTGAATAAAATGCCTTGTTAGTTGGGGCCAAACATATTTCTATAACACTTTTAGTAAGAAATAGTTCTTTAGTATTTTGAAGTGTCAAAATGTGGTATTTGTCAATTAATGGTGGATCGATTCCACTGGTCATCTTGTAACAATAACAAGATGTCGTGTATGGTAGATAACATTGGTCATCTTGTAACAATAACAAGATGTCATGTATGGTAGATAACACTGGTTACCTTGTAACAATAACAAGATGTCCCATATGGTAGATAAAACTGGTCATCGTGTAACAATAACAATATGTCATGTGCATGTATGGTAGATAACACTGGCCATCTTGTAACAATAACAAGATGTCCCATATGGTAGATAATACTGGTCATCTTGTAACAATAACAAGATGTCATGTATGGTAGATAACACTGGTCATCTTGTGACAATAACAAGATGTCGTGTATGGTAGGTAACACTGGTCATCTTGTAAAACAAGTAATCAATAACAAGATGTCATGTATGGTCATCTTGTAAAAGTAACAAGTAATCAATAACAGATAAGTAAAGAAGCTGAACACTTTATGTAACAAATAATCTCCATCAAATTCTGAGCATCTACAAGATATATATTGTTTATGTGATGGTGTACAAAATTATAACAACTGATACATACAAAAACATCTGTAACAAAAATAATTTATCTCACAAAATATACTAATATTCTAGTACTGGTAACTATTTAAGGCCGTCAAACAAAACTATGACAAACTATTAGTCTTTGAAAGCCCCATTATTTACATGCTATTTATGCATTATGAAAGTCTACCTGTTTTATAATATACAAGAAAGATGTTACGTACAAATATTTACATAATACTTTAGAATAATTGATACAGAAAATCACGGAATACATGGGATAAAAATTGGTATTATTAAATAAGACAAAATATTGGAATGGATTTTAAAGTCAATTAAGGCATGGTTACAGTTGCATAAGTTGGAGCACTAAGAACACCACACATATTGTCTTTTTGTGAAAACAAAACATAGCCATCATTACCCCAGTAGGTAGACCAAGAGTTCTTCACCAACCAGTATGGCTCATTCATATAAACACCATATCCAACAGCTAATACAGCATGATCTAAATCATCTGGTTTGTTTCCTATAAGATATAATGTTAATTTTTAATAGAAATTAATAACAACTTTCTTCACCATAAGATACTATGTAACTACCTTGTCTAAATCAGTTGTATATGTATACTATTATCTAACACTTGTATAGAAAATATCTCTCAAACATTTAAGATATACCAGTATAAGAATTAAGTGAAAATCAAAAAATTTCAATTCAGATTTCAGAATCGTAATCAACCAATTTTATCCAACACCATAAGGTTAAACTGTTTCAATGGCATTTAGTAATTGAACTAGAGTATACAGGTCACAATTCTATGGAATACAATTACTGCTTTTTACTGAGCGACGTTTCGACTAGGCTTCTCTAGTCATTATCAAGCTATGATAAAAAATGAAAATATGACAGGACAATATATACATGTACACCACAATGCTAAGTTAATGATGACAAACCAGGGATGTAACTTAATTACGTGTACCTAATGGTAATCTGATTTAATTGTACGCTAATAAGTAATAATACCAATTAACCTAAAAAATTGACTAATTGATTAATGGATAAGTTGTTGTGGAGTATACACAGTGATTAGTGGGTTTTAATAATACAAACGTTGCAAGAAAATGAAAATTGATGAAATGTTATCAACGACCCCTTTCACTGAAATAAATACAAATGGTAAAAGAATAGATTGTTGTGGAGTATTTACAACGATTTGATGAGGTTTTGATAATGACAACATCCCACGAAGATGAGATTTGATTTGTGTTATAACCAAAATAATTGATATGTGGATGTTGATGCGAGTGATTACACTGATATACGAAAAACCCTTAGAACAATGACTGCACAATGATCAATAGTCCCCTGAAGGTTGACAATTTAAAATATTGAGTGGTACTTCACTGGATGTTATGGTGATGTAGAAAAGCAGGGTTAGAAATATTGAGTGCATTAAATTACAATAACCGCAGGCCTGAAAAGCAGAAATGCCTGAAAAGCAAAAAATAGTTGGGAATTATTAGTTGTCATTTTTGCATATTATGATGGTTATTACAAACTTAAAGTTATTACTGGAATATTGATAAGTATTAAATATGATAAAAAAGAAAAAAATAGAATTATGCTTAGCCTTGATTATGTGATAAGAATATCATACGCCCTGGGGAGGAACAATCCTTGATCTCTGTTCATCGTTGGTTTGTGTCGTCGTATATGAATGGCTTCATGTAATCGGCGCGCTCTCTTGTTGCTTATATTCTTGCATAGTGGTTTTACGTTGGACCATTGGACTCTGTGGCGAGGGTTGGAGTTCAAATGTTCAGCTACAGCTGAGTTGTTGGTTGCTGCTTTCGACTTGTGGTCATCTATCCTTTTATTTAATGGTCGCTTTGTCTCCCCGATGTATGCAATCCCACAATTGCATACTATTTGATAAACACATCCCTTTGGTTGTGGTGGTTGTGTAGGATTTTGTTTACCATTGGCTCTTAATATATCTTTAGTGCTGTAGCTTTTTGTGAAAGTTACATCTATTTCTGGTTGTTGCATTAGTAGCCGTTTGATTTGGTAGGAGACTTTGCCGTTGAAAGGAAGGAAGATTCTGACTGGGGCAGTCGGGGTTTTTGGTTTTTTGTTTGAAGCGCTTCAAACATCCACCGTAACCCCAACATGCTTCTTTAGGCAAGTGGATGATACCTTTGTTATTATCAATCAACAAGATGATCCAGAAACACTGTTACAACACCTCAACAGGCAACACCCACGTATAAAATTCACAATGGAAACCGAAAATGATAACCAACTACCTTTCCTCGATGTTTGTGTATCTAAAACCAACAACTCGATCCGCACCAGTGTCTATAGGAAACCAACTCACACCGACCAATACATTCATTTCAAATCTAATCACCCGAATAGCGTCAAATCGGCCACAATTTCAACTCTGGTGAACCGTGCGAAAAAGATATGTGATCCTGAGAGCCTCTCCAAGGAAATTGATCATCTCAAACATGTCTTCACAAATTTCAACGGCTATCCAGGGAAGTTTGTGACAAACGCCATCAACAAGACCCTGTCGGCGAGTGCAGCTAAACCAAAAACCCCGACTGCCCCAGTCAGAATCTTCCTTCCTTTCAACGGCAAAGTCTCCTACCAAATCAAACGGCTACTAATGCAACAACCAGAAATAGATGTAACTTTCACAAAAAGCTACAGCACTAAAGATATATTAAGAGCCAATGGTAAACAAAATCCTACACAACCACCACAACCAAAGGGATGTGTTTATCAAATAGTATGCAATTGTGGGATTGCATACATCGGGGAGACAAAGCGACCATTAAATAAAAGGATAGATGACCACAAGTCGAAAGCAGCAACCAACAACTCAGCTGTAGCTGAACATTTGAACTCCAACCCTCGCCACAGAGTCCAATGGTCCAACGTAAAACCACTATGCAAGAATATAAGCAACAAGAGAGCGCGCCGATTACATGAAGCCATTCATATACGACGACACAAACCAACGATGAACAGAGATCAAGGATTGTTCCTCCCCAGGGCGTATGATATTCTTATCACATAATCAAGGCTAAGCATAATTCTATTTTTTCTTTTTTATCATATTTAATACTTATCAATATTCCAGTAATAACTTTAAGTTTGTAATAACCATCATAATATGCAAAAATGACAACTAATAATTCCCAACTATTTTTTGCTTTTCAGGCATTTCTGCTTTTCAGGCCTGCGGTTATTGTAATTTAATGCACTCAATATTTCTAACCCTGCTTTTCTACATCACCATAACATCCAGTGAAGTACCACTCAATATTTTAAATTGTCAACCTTCAGGGGACTATTGATCATTGTGCAGTCATTGTTCTAAGGGTTTTTCGTATATCAGTGTAATCACTCGCATCAACATCCACATATCAATTATTTTGGTTATAACACAAATCAAATCTCATCTTCGTGGGATGTTGTCATTATCAAAACCTCATCAAATCGTTGTAAATACTCCACAACAATCTATTCTTTTACCATTTGTATTTATTTCAGTGAAAGGGGTCGTTGATAACATTTCATCAATTTTCATTTTCTTGCAACGTTTGTATTATTAAAACCCACTAATCACTGTGTATACTCCACAACAACTTATCCATTAATCAATTAGTCAATTTTTTAGGTTAATTGGTATTATTACTTATTAGCGTACAATTAAATCAGATTACCATTAGGTACACGTAATTAAGTTACATCCCTGGTTTGTCATCATTAACTTAGCATTGTGGTGTACATGTATATATTGTCCTGTCATATTTTCATTTTTTATCATAGCTTGATAATGACTAGAGAAGCCTAGTCGAAACGTCGCTCAGTAAAAAGCAGTAATTGTATTCCATAGAATTGTGACCTGTATACCATAAGGTTACCTAATCTCTACCACATGGTTAATATGAGTGGTGGACAGATTCTAAAGCCTGGCCCTAATCTCTACCACATGGTTAATATGAGTGGTGGACAGATTCTAAAGCCTGGCCCTAATATGCACTGATTTATAACAAACTCTGTGATTAGTGCAAATAGTGAATTTTGTATTGAGAAACATATCTACAGTCGGCTGACATAATGAAAGCATCTGATGTTTGTTGTTGACACCTTGATATTGTTAAGATGAAAACAACAAAATAAACAGAAGGATTTTTTTTAAGGGTGGTAACCACAAAGGAACAAATCTTTGGGTACCTTCTTCCCCATACTCAAGTCTTTAGGTGAGACACAAATTATTAAACATACATGATGCAAGAGCTAAATCTACCTATTGCAGGTCTTTCTTTAGGCCTTAAATGTTATCTAAATTATTAATTAGACATCAATTAACTTATCAAGACAATAATCAACTCTCGATGCCATCGTTAGCCTGCAATATTTAGTGGATTTGAATATGTTTTGTGATGGATGATTTAACGTAAAAATGGATAATCAAGACTATCTCAGTTCAGAGTGAAGCAATTTGAAATTTTCAGCATATTCTGTTTTCATTATCTATTTTTAAAACCATTATAGCAAGAACTGTCAGCTCCTTATCTAATCTTACCTAATGCCCCTCTAATTTTATCCTAATACTTTTGGAATCCTATCCTGAACAAATAATCACAGGTCATACATAATTATAAAAACGTACCACATTGAGGATCTGAGTAGATACCACTAGAATAAAATGAGAGAGATTTGTGAGAAGCATCAATGGCAATAGAGATAGGTCCATGATTAAATAATGCTAATTTCATAGCTGTTGCATTCCAGGTAGTAACATTTACATAACCCGTAACCTTGACAACTGGTGTAACTTTATCATCATGACAGTAACCATCCTGAAAACAAGAAATACAATTTATATTATATACATCAATGTCAGCTGATTTCCTGACTTTGACAAAATCAGATTTAAATCAATTATGTTCATGAACAACAAAATGGCAGCCGGGCTAATAACATAGTGGGATGCATAGATTAGAGCGACAACCTTTGCTTGATCATATTGCGAGACATTTCAGAAAAAATATATGTTAATCAAAAACCCTCTTATTTTCTGTGGCTCTGTGGGCGGCTGGTTTTTGGGACATGGGACTTACAAGCATTTTGAGGGACTGTCATCCTAGCATAGATCAATTCAACACATCTTTGTAAATACTGAATAGAACTGAACTATTTTTATAGATATTCCTATTAGACATTCATCTTTTACAGTATTGTAGTTTGCAAGGGATTTCTATTGTGCTTAAATCAGGCAATCGGACATTGGTATATTTAAATCTGTAATATTGAACTCAATATCAAAGTTGTTACAATAGTACACAACATTCTAAGACAAACCATAATTACTGAGAGGAAATCAATCTTGCCCACTAAGGGTTGGGGGGCATATGTTTTAATAAATTCTCCAATATTTTACGGAATTTTTATGGCAATAATATGTTTTAATAATATTCTCCAATAGCCACAAGGTTTCAGTAATAAAATCAAGAAAAGGATTAATTTGGGTAATTTTACTCTATGCTCTCTTCGGAATTTCATTTAATTGTGAATCAAATCCTATAGGGGTTAATATTTACAGGTTGCATGTTGTATGGTATTAGATATTATAACTTACAGCAGCTAAATATTGTCCATATTGTTCATCTGATGATAGACCACCTTTCTTCATGATATAATCATAGGATCGGAAATCTTCTCCACCATCACAACCATTATTACCTTCACCCCATGAACAGTCTACAAGCTGTTGTTGTGATAGACGAGTTACTTTACCTGACTGTAAATAATAACAATTGTTTAATTTTAAGATCAAATTAATTACAAAGTTTTAGGACAGTGATTCTCAACCAGATCTTCCTAAGTATGCCGGGAAATTTTGAACGGCACCCTAAGAAAATGCGAAAAACCATGTGACGGTCGTATGCCGTCTGACTTACCATGTTTTTATTTTTTCAAAATTCAAATATTTTTCATATATATTTAGCCAGGTGTGCCGCTATTTGTTCCAAGAAGTGCAGTTAGCAAAAGACTGTTGAGAACCACGGTTTTGGGGGGAAGAACTTGACCCGTCTGGGCAATAATGTTTGGTTTAACCTGGTGGACTGGAAGAATATGTACATCTATGGAAGTGATAACGACTGATATACCAATTTTTGCACAACCTACTAACTTGACGTAAAATTACTTCTACTGCAAATTAGCACACGTATGCAATTATGGTCGCATGACATGATTTGCACACATGTGCATGATCTGCACACCTATATAAATTTGCATGATATGTATAAAGATATATGCAAAGAGCTGATGTTGCTTTGTGTTGGAGCTGCCCAGATCTCCTTTAAATCTATGTGTGACTTGGTGAGATTGGGGTGGCTTACTGACCAGGAGATCCCAGGTTTCATTCCGATTTTGACCTAAAAAGTTCCTCAGCTCTGTTTAATCAAGGTAAACTTTGTTTGACTTAATTTAAAGTGAGTGCAAAACTAAAAAGCATATAGTCAAAATACAAGTAAAATTCAGAATGGTATTGAAATTACACTTCTTGCTGTAAATATATCATATAATTATTTTTCTTCTTGATTTTCTTCCGAACCCTGCCATAGCATCGATTTTGACCAAACTCAAGAATAAACTTAATACTTACCATAATAGCCAATGCACCTTCAATAGTGCCAGTTGTTCCAAAACTCCAACATGAACCACACACACCTTGATCTTTTACTGGTGATACCACACCTAGAAAATATACAAATAACATAAAAAAACTTACATAAACAAATAACACATACAAAACAGATAACACACAAAACATACATAAACAGGTAACACATACAAAACATACATAAACAGGTAACACATACAAAACATACATAAACAGGTAACACATACAAAACATACATAAACAGGTAACATACAAAACATATATAAACAGGTAACATACATAGAAAAGGGGTTTAAAGATAGTACTTCAGCTACTCTATGATTAACAAAAAATGAAAGAAATGGGGTTTAACGTCCCACTGTTCTGCTCCGAACTGGGCTAATGAAGACGGGTATACGCCATACAGTGTGCTATGAGGGAAATTTTGCCCAGACAGTGGCACTACGGCCTACTCTTATATTGAATTCCAACTGTCAAGGGATCTTTTACGTGCACGCCAATGTGTACACGGGATTTTGGTTTTCCGTCCCATCCGAACGACTAGACAGCTGTCCTTGTCAGGCCCTCCGTCTATGATTAACAATGTAATATATAATTTCTATGGTCGTGAAAGTACCAGACAATGAGTGCTGAAGTAATAGAATGTAATAATAATAATAATAATGTACATTTATATAGCGCTTAATCCATCCATGAGCATGCTCTAAGCGCTGTAAGTTAATGGCTTCTGTGGATAATACATCGTGAACATATGCGTCTTAAGTCTAGATCGAAATTGAGCAACTGTTACTGAACACTTTATTTTGTCAGGTAAGTCATTCCATAGTCGTGGACCATATACACTGAAGGCTTTATCACCAATAGATTTTAATTTAGTTGAAGGTACATCAAGTGATAGATTATTCTGTGAACGGAGTGGTCGGTTTGGTACATAAGGCTGCATAAGATCTGTGATATAGGATGGAGCTGAATCATGCTGAGACTTGTAGACCAGTGTTAAGATTTTAATGTAATCATGTTTTGATTTAAGAAATAATGATTAATGGAAATGAAATTAATTACACTCCAAAAATCATGTAATGGTCATTAAATTTCAATTACACATTATTTCAAATACCAATATTTCGAGAAATATCTTACCCATTATTCTCCAATCAAGTTGATCAGGTAAATCTTGAACGTTATATTTACTGGTGTCGAAATATTGACCTCCGTGTGGTCCCTTAGAATATCTATAGCCATTCATCATCTGGAGTTCTTTAGCACTTCTATCAGCTAAATGATTGACAGCAACTTTAAATGTTAGACCAGCTCGATTCTTAGAATGAATGTATCTAGAAGAAATTAATCACACAATAAATATGCATAGACCTGCTTCAAAATGCAAAATGAAACTATATTTTTTATTTTCTCTGATGACGTATGAGCACCTTCCACAGAAAATCAACAATTGCATGCTTCTTGTGGACCAAATACATTAAATGGACTAACTGAAATGATAGAGCTTAGGTATATTTGTCCATCTCAGTTTTGTTATAAAACTGGGAGGTCGCTTCAGAGGTCATACAAGCGGCTTTTGACCCTAAGACATCAGACATTTGATTAACCAATCAGCATTGATGTTTCTAGTGGATTACCCACAGTCACCTCGCCATAACAGACCGTTTCATTGGCTAATCCCTCACATTATCCAAAACACGTCAATGATAACAACTCTTCCAGATCTTAGTGTAGTAACGACAAGTAAAATGAAATTTTCAACTATAAAAAAAACGAAACGAAATAGGATCTGTGTTTTAATCAGATTGATTATAAAATGATATAAGAAGACAATGACAGTTCTTATAGTTGGGAATATGGAAACCTGGGTCTAGACAAGATAAGTGTGATTTGTAAAACTTAAAACTTACCGGACATTTTGTCTGAAGACATGTTTTCTTTCTTCATGTTCTTTAATATCTTTATATTTTTTATCATGAGTTTTCTTATAAGATTCAAACATTTCATCTACATGTTGATCAAAATGGTTGACATATTCACTCATTGGATTCATTCTCACTTTTTTTTCTGCTCCTGGTCCTGGGAAACCTCCACATGTTAAATCTAGATGAAATATTAAATATGTAACTCATTAAAGTAAATATCAATCCCACAATACATAGAAATTCTAAAGCAGTGGTTCTCAAAGACATTCCTCCCCTTGATATCCCAGGTTTCTTTAATTCTTACATTTGGAATTGTTATCTGGTTATTATTTCACCATTATGATTTTACCATGGTAATTAATGGAATAATTTATAAAAATAACTTGCTTTATAAACAGCAATCTAATAAAAAAAGAAATCCTTAGTTCAGTGGATAACATATGGATATAGTCTGAAGCAGTAGTTTCATGTGAATGATTAATTTGTGTTCACCCTTATAGTTGTGTATATTTTTTCCCCAGTTCTTAAACATATAGAAAATACGTAAAAACATGTGATGTTAGCAAGGCATTTGAATTTGTGCCTTCTCGCTGTACATCTAGATAACCCATTGTATTCTAATTTGACACACTGGGTATTTCAGTTTCTATCTTTTGATAGTTTATGGTGATGCAATTGGCTTTCTTCTCATGCTCCTCAAAAGTTCTAAATACATCAAGTAAATACTGCAGGTTGTCTTTATTTCTAATAAGCCTATCATTTGGCTAGATATTACAACTCTATTTCTTACATTTATAAGGAGAAGCTTTGAAATCAATCAAATAAGAACTGAAACACAACAGTAGTGATAATTTATTTTCCAAGCATCTTTAAATGGTGTACTTACTTGCTGGTGGATCAAAAGCTGAAGCAGGTATACTACCACCAGCTGTATATTTCATATAATCTAGGTAATAACGATCAAAATGTGAACCGAGTAGAGAATCATAACCATACATCTCATATCTTACTGGATCCTGATTACTAGAATCTAACCACATAGAATAAGTATTGGATTTATTACCAATAGATTGTTTCATTTGCCATAAATCACACATTTTGCCATTCATTAATTCTTGACTCATTTTCTATTAAAAAAAAATATAAACAAAACATCACTATTACCAATAGGGACAACTTAATCAATAGTTATTTCATCAGTTATTAACAAAATTATATCCCTCATCATCACACTTGTACAAAAAATATCAATTGACAACTTTCCATCCTGAACATCACAAACTTGAGAGAAAATGAAGATAATGCTACTCGACATAAACTAGGTACATTTTGAACTAACGTATGGAACATTCTTACTCAAATTGTTTGTTTAAATGTAGGGGTCTTCATCAGTCAGAGGAAACCAAAGAATCCACAAGACTGGGCAGACAACACTAAAGCGCATGTGTTAGACCATTCCCCCCCCCCCCCACCTCTCATATTACTTATACGAAGACTGTCCATAACTGGTAGACCAATGACCTAAATAGATATAAACAAGCCAACAGTGAGGCTGATGTCCCCTGCCACAATCCCAAAATAAATAGATGATACATATTAGTCAATTGCACATGTATCTTTTTAAAAAGCATCGAAAAATCTAAACTGATCATTGAACTCAGTCAAGACATTCACCTAACTCCCAAAGTCTCGACCAATCAGATTGAAGTCTCTATGTAGCCTAAGGAGAAAATGCTCATCATCGAACTTAGTCAAGGTATTGATGTAATGACACTATACATGAAGTTTCACCACTCACACTCAAAATTATCAATCAATCAAATTGCTTATCGCTCTGATTATCCTGAACAGAAAATGAGTATTGATGTAATGAAACTACACACTAAGTTTCATCACTCTCACTTAATTAGAACCAAAGTTGTTGTGTCCCAAAGCATCAGCTTAAGCAGAAAATGCTCATCTTCAAACTCCATCAAGGCATTCACCTAATAAACACAGACAGACGCATTTTAATAGTCCCCTGCTTTCTTTGAAAGGTGGGGGAAAATAACACAGCAAATCGGTAGTTGGCTAATTCTAATAGTAAGTGCAGGGGGACTGCCCCACACAAAATTTACACAAAAACAAATACACGGACAAGACATCATACTCATAAAAACACAAACAAGCAAACAATTCAAAAAGGGTGAATGGATCCGGGGGCTAGCCGTAAGCGTCCACTGCGATGTACAATCTTTCCTGATGGAAGGCCAGAAAATGATAGAAACATATTTGCCAGGTTTGTGGCTTCAATAGCATATCAATAGCATTGCACATCTGTGCAGTAGATCTATGATTTTACTGCTAAACCGAGAAATTAGGACACTGACTACTAGAAATGATTGTATACCGTACCTGAAAGCCTGTAAGATCTGGCAGAACAGATTGTGGCATAACAGTTGCATTAACAGTACCATTAGTCTGAAAACACATTCTCTGGTTCCTGACTTGATAGTTTGTCATTGGTGCAAGTTCAAGGGTCATGCCATACTGACCCATATCACCTCTTAACAGATTGACAACCATACCTGTTCAAATACATCATACATTTTAAACCTATCTTGAAACATTTAGCCAAAAATATAAATAACAACAAATTAATGAAAATATTGAAAATTTGAAAAAACCCATGAACATTTTAATTAGTTTATTAATATTCAGGTAATATTCCATAAAATACGGTTTTGTGCAATTTGACAGTACATATACAAACATTATAGCCCTTTGGATAGAAATGGCTATTTTGCCTAATTAATCTTACCAATTACTCTATTACAAAAATTTCAGTTATAATATCAAGAGAACTTTCTAGTAATTTATTCTTGGTTCTAAACAAGCAAAATATGCATAAAATCATGAGAAGCTGACTCCATGGACTTAATGGTTGGGAAACCTGGCCTAAACCTACCATTATAATAATCTACCCTGCTTCTTTTATTAGGACCATCAAACATGGCAGTAAAAGGTTCTTTAATTTCAGCATAGGGTAGTTGTAATACACCAGAGACAACATATGAAGTAGCAAATGTTGGTGTATTAGCGTTCAGTTTGGCACTGGAACACAGGGCTGAAAAAAAATATAGAAGAAATGTAATATTAATTAGAAAAAATTGAGCTTCATGACATATATAGATTTTATATAAACTAAAATATTGGGTAAATAGATAGAATTTCTTCCTTATTGTCCAACTGCACATAAATGCACATACATTATGAGTGCAAGAGAGAGAAATGTTTTTTAACGTTCACTCGACACAAATTAGGTCATTTCGGGAGGAAACCGGATGACCTAGAGAAAACCCACAAGGTTGGACAGGCTACACTACTCCTGGTCATGTACAACCGGGGAATCGAAACCACGCCAGTTGATCCAATGATAAATCTTGTGATACACACGCACATGTTAACCATTCGGCCATCCAACCCCCTTTTCATTATGACTATGAGTAACAAGCATTTGGTACCGGTACAGATTTTATCGGGTTTCTAGCTCAAACCGATTCACATTTTGAAAAATCGGTAGTCGTTTCATCCAATTTATATTTATACAATCACATATAATGTTTGACTTATAGTGTCTGCTAAACACACTGCTGAATTGCTGCCTATTAAAACCGTATGGAAAGTACGTCTTTTGAGATTCTATACAGAAATTCCCATTTACAGTGGCACGAAATCAATCTAGCATAGAATTCTTCGCCTACCATATTAGGCATGGCTTACTACGAAATGTGTAAAATGGTTGATTTTGGCGCAAAATAGCTGTCAACAACGGACAATAACACATGATAATATCATGGGCATTATAATACATGGACTGAATACATGCCGCACGAGACGGGGAAGTTGGCTATGCCTTTTTATGAGTGATAAACTGCCAATGTAATTTTAATAAAATATCGTTTTATAAAGAAGAAAACAATGTTCCAACAATATAATGGAAAGATTCCCTCAGAAATTCCTCCAGTATAAATTAATTTTAAATCCAGTTGTACTGTGTTCGAGACAATGAATAAACGAGTTCCTGACATTACCAGTCAGGAGGATCTTCTATTCGCCCCCCTTGGTATATGTTGCCACCTTTTTAAATAACACATGTTCTTTTCTATTTGTACCGTCTTCCGCGGCTTCTCTTGTTGTTTTTCGTCAATATGATTATCGCTAGATATGTTAAAATATTATTTACAGGAATTGTTGTGCTACTACTAGTGAATTGTAATCTATTGCCAGTATTGGATTTTTAATTAGCAGTTAAAGCTATAGGGGTAAGTGAGAACATGGGAATGTCTTACTCAGCTCAACCGCGTAACTAAATCTCAAAACTAATGACTTTGTAAATGTTATTTATTGCCAATTTAAAGGACCTAAGTCCGTAACTCAAAATCCTCCAAAATCTTCGACATCGAAAACACGAATTATTGGTCAATTTAAATCAACATTGATGATGTAAACTTACCGGGAAAAGATGAGCTTCTGATATCCGATATTTAAGATAAAATAATTTTTTTAACATTGGTACACGAAACGTGTACCATAATGCGCTTCAGCCCCAGTTGTATTGAGAGACTCGAGGGAGGAGGCTAGACACATTGCACCAAATCAAATGGAGTTATGTAGACTAGAATAACTAGATGCTAGAAATTTGCACTCGATTGAGATTGCTGACTTATTTCGCCAAACATAACTGATTTGAAATTAGAGTAAAAACGGAAACCATTAAATGTAAATCAGTTTATATACATTCATATTACAGTATTATATGCATTGCGACCCACTTTTGTGAATTTCTAGGTCCCAAATGTTAGCGATTTAGCTCCTTTAAACGATTTATTCCAACATCTCTTTAGCACAAACTCAACAAAATGTACTACAATAATATACAATCAGCTATTCAGTGTTAATGTGGCATTTTATAATTTACTTATCAACAAAAAATCACAAGAAAAAACCCTCGGAACACAGTACAGACAATGCCATTATAAATAGAATTTATATGGCATCCTATTAATCGGCACCAATATGATTTTTGGCTGGCCGATTAACGGATTCAAGAATTTTGTAATCGTGACAACACTATATATAACTATAGGCTAATTATAGTATATTTAGCTATTTAACAGAATATCGTCGCATTGCATGGAAATGTCAATCTTGATATGTTGAAGAAATTTGGTCTAAAAATGTAGCAGCACATTTCAAATAAAGAGATCCAGTTTTTGTTTGTCATAAACTATTGTTATAAATCAATGTGCCTGTAAATAGAATATATTGTATGGGGTAACATCTGGTATTAACTAATAACTTAAGTGAATGTGTCGGCTAAACACGATCGGATTATTTTCTGCTTTCAAATGAAAACTTCAGACAGCTGTCGATAAAACTTTGGTTGGTTTGACTTTAGCATATGTCCAACATTTATTAACTGCCTTAATTAAAGATATACTCTCTCTCTCTCTCTCTTTCTATCTCTCTCTCTCTCTCTTTTATTATGCAATCATCTAAAGAAAAACACTATAACAATTCCGTAAACGACTCTTAACAAAAAAAATCTTACAGTCCAACCGATCAAAGTCATTTTTTTTCTTTGGAATACATCAAAAATTTGTGATTAAATCAATTAAATTGTCATTTTACCTGCCAAAAAGAGCACGCCACAAATTTTTGCAACAACCATCTTCGCCATCTTGAAGGTAGACTGTCACATGATAGATCACGAGCCGTATTAAAATAGATGAGTAATTTTGTCACGAATGTCCAGCCACTCACAATTCTAACTGCTGGCGCATAATATATATGGGGAAAGTGATAAAATAATTATATATCATATTGAATTACACACTTATTTGATCATATGCTAGTCAGTTGATAAACATTTTGATCAAAATAGTGATTCAGCTATATTATTCTATCTTATCTATGTAATCCAGACATACGATAAAACTACTGTTATCATTCTATAGCCTTAGCCTAATTAATCTAACAAGTTCGCGACTTCGTCAAGAACGCGGCGCGCAGAGGGTGGGGGGTGGGGTGTTCTTGCCCCCGGCTGGCTACGGGGGTGGTGGTGTTGCAGAGAGTGCAGTGGCACCCCTTTCATGTGGCATCCCATCCAAGAGTGGTATTAAGATTTTTATTTACATTTGAAACTATCACAGTTAACTTTGATATACAATCTACCCTAGACTTCATTTGAATATGCGTCTTTCTACATATTTAAAATTTCTTCCTGATACGGAAGACCATTAGGGTCAATCAAATGAAAAAAAATAAATATATATTCAGATTATATAACTATCTTGTAATTAACATAATCTATTCGTAATGCAGTATCGCAGTTAATTCACGTGTCATTTTATCAAAATGAGGTCGTTACTGGTCGTATCATTTATTATACAAAAACTTCGAACTCTTCATCGACTCTATGGGTAGTGATATGTTTAATTAAAATATAAAATTTCATATCTGTTGTTGAAAAATGTAAATATTATTTATGTATTAATTATGCAGAACTGTAGTTAACGGATTGGGATGCTCAGTTTGGGTTTCAATTTCTTGATTCACCCTAGTTCAGATTTATAAGATCCACGTTAGAAGAGAGTTAGAATTTGTTTCATCCGTGTTCTTCGTTACTGTTTCCAATGTAAATAAAGTTAGTATTTACAACGCTGGTTATTTGGGTTGCAACTGTGATAAAAGCAAATAATACGATTCATTGTAACTCTAAAATTCCCAACACTCTAAATGAATTTGTTTCATCCGTGTTCTTCGTTAGTGTTTCCAATGTAAATAAAGTTAGTATTTACAACGCTAGTTATTTGGGTTGCAACTGTGATAAAAGCAAATAATACGATTCATTGTAACTCTAAAATTCCCAACACTCTAAATGAATTTTAATTTAAAAATATATAGGGCAACATGAATAAGAGACATTACGGCATAGTTTATTGGGGCCGACTAGGAATAATAATAGCAACGAGGCGAGAAATATTTTGTTAAGACTGACAGAGATATAGAAATAAAATAAAACTGGGTTTTTCTTCCTACTTTTCTTCACCACCGGGCTAATGAAGAAAGGCATACGCCATGTAGCGTATTTTGCCGGAACAGCAGCGCTATAATTTCTCGGACATTGGTTGAATACATCGGGAGGCAGACCACCATTAAATTTCACCATCTCGGTACCCACGAATTGTAGTTCGTCTATTTATAGCAATTCTCTCTCTCTCTCTTTTCTCCCCTTTTGCATGCCCATTTTTGTTGATTTTTTGGTCTAGAATGGACGAAGAGGGTTTGAATTAACATTTTCTGTCAGGTTTTGGTAAATATTCATGATTTTGAGGCGGAAGGATAAGAGGGTTATCAGGTTAGCTACGGCGATATGTACGGCAACTAGTCACATGTTTTTAGTATGCTTCTTCAAGTTTGTGTATCTCAAAATTTTGGTGGTCAACCTCATACAAATTTTAGTGCAAGGACATGACCATTTGTTCCTCTGTCTGTAGAGAAAAGCATTCAGCCAAACGAAAATTTTGGGAAAAGTTGGAGGTGGGCAAAGAGGCCAGAATTAACATTGAAGTCAATGGGGAAATTAATGGTGGTCTGCCTCCATCGGCAGTGAAACGGTTGTCTCCCTTGACACCTCATTTTTTAAAACCCATAAAGCGTTTTATCTGCACTGCTATGCATTCAGTTGCGGCAACGCCGGATCAACCATGGTGGGGGCCCTGGGGCCTGGAACATGTGGGGGGCCCCTGATCACCGACCGCAGAGTTGTGGCCGGCAAAGCCGGCCACCGCGAGCGCCGAAGGCGCGAAGCCCCGCAAGGGGGGCTGGGGGGTGGAGGGGTTTCCCCCCATGAAATTTTCAGAAATTGGAGGCCGGAAACTTGATTTCCTGGCATTTCAGACACTTGTGTCGGAGCCATTTAGAAGTACCTCCCCCAGAAAAAATAACATTCTGCCACAAAATTAGCGCATTCTGGCGTTATTTCAGTGGACCAATCCATGCGAGTTCTATGAAATGAGTCCTCGGTCCGACCATGCTCGAGGCGCGCAACTGAGATTTTTGTGGGGGGCCCTCTAATGTGGGGGGCCCTGGGCAGTGGCGGATTCAGGGGGAGGGGGTGACTAGTCACCCCCCCCCCCCTGAGAGATTTAAAAAACGCAAAATCGGACAAGTTCAATTATTGGAGGCATCAGTCATCGATCAAGTCACGATCAGTAACTGAAACTCTCGCGACCGACGCCGATGCAACATTTTTTCCGAATGTCCGCGAGTTGTTGACAGTCCTTGCTGTACTGCCGATCGGAAGTGTCGAGGCGGAAAGGTCATTTTCTTGTGTACGCCGTATTCATAATTAGCTCAGGAATTCCATGACAACCGAGAAACTATCAGACTGTGCCGTTATTGCCATGCACGGGTTCGCGATACCAGTTTCAAACGAGGACATTTGCCGCATTTCCTCGCCGAATGAAAGGATCATCACTTTTGTCTGATGCGTGCTTGTGAGTGAATGATGTGCAAAATACAGTGATAATAAAAAAAGATATTCGTAGTATTAGTTAGGCCTAGGCTACCTGTTTCACTTACCATTCTATGTGCCTAACGCCTTTTTTGGTCTGCAGGGAAAATAAATATTCATTTATTTTGAAAAAAACTTGTCACTTTATTTCTTTGAGAACTATTGCCCGGAAAATACCTCAGATAGCACAAAATAGTTTTAACCCCTTTGGACACCCTATGCCCCCCCCCCCTTCTAGTGCTCCAGCCTTTGGTCGACCGCGCTTCGCCCCTGACCTCTTTTAGTCACCCCCTCGAATAAATCCTGGGTCCGCCACTGCTGGGGCCTGGGCCCCATGGTGCCCTGTGGTTAATCCGGCGTTGAGTTGCGGCGAAAAGTAACGTATATATATATTGCACACCAGGTTTAATAGGTATTGTAATTTTAACATTGGAAACTACAGAATGTTTAATCTCGGCTTGTGAAGACAAACAATAAATAAAATGGGGTTTCACGTCCTACTCTTCTGCACCAAACCGGGCTAATGAAGACGGGTATACGCTATGCGTGGTGTTAGAGAAGGGAGAAATTTTGCCAGTACTGACAGCGACCTACCTTTATTTCTATTTACGTGCTGACAGTAGTATACAAGGGACCTCGGTTTTTGGTCCCATCCGAATGACAAGACTAATCTTATATTTGATATCTATATAGTCTTTCGAAATTATAGGATTTCTGAATAATTAATCACATAATTTTCGGCTCACATAATAAATCAGCGTGCGACTACTCCGACTACTCCGATATTGCGTGCTGTGAGAAATGGCATAATCATGGTATGCGAATATTGCATATATTTTAGTATTCATGGCGACAATACAACAAAAGTTAAAACGGACACTGACTGTGGGAACACTTGATTTAATGATCGGTGTACATCGGGTACACGGAGCTAAATCAAGTGAACCCTATTTTTCTGCAGGAGATAATAACTCCGTAGACTACATCGTCAATAGCGTATATAACAACAGAAATAATTTAAAATCATAATATAATTTCCGTCTGTGTTTTAATAATTATTTGTTAAAATCATACGGGATTAGAAATCTGACAACTTTCCTTTAATTAATTCAGAACTTAAACTTAACCCCACAAAAGCCAAAACAAATATGAACAAAAAAAAAAAGAGAGGAAAAAAATACACAAAAATGTTAATTTGGAGTTTTCTAGACATAAGAAGCTATACTTACACACGTATTTAAATATAAACAATGGGATATGCCCTACTTGTATCAAACAAAATGAACAGATTTAAAAAATTAAGTATTTGGTTGTAGTTTCAATGTGTAAACAGCCAATCAAAGTTAATCTGAAAAATCTACATGGACGTTGTTTTTGTAGACATGTAAAGTTCTACACCACTCCGTCCTGAGAGAAACAAACAGTAACTCTAGCTTGTTTTTGTTTGTTTTGTTGTTTTTATTAGAAAGATTTTATTCTGAATTTAATCTCTGTTTAATCTCTTGTACCAGATCAAGACCATTTCCTGAATTTCCAAAGTGTATACTTTGATAAGGCTATAGAATAAATAGAAGAAAGCATCTAAAGAATTAAAATATTTTAAGGATTTTTAACCAACAGAATTAAGCCACATGTAGTATGCTATATGTATTCATGAGAGTGCATGGCCATTAAATTATACCTGTTTACAACTACTATAATTAGCCTCGGAAAGAAACAACGGGAAGGACAATTTAGTGGAGTTCGAATTTGCAGAAATGCTAGATCCTGCCGTGCTAAAGGAACCCTTGTCAATTCGGCCCAATCTTTTCATGAATGCAAAAGAAAAGAGTTCCAAGTTTGTGTTAGACTTACAGAATAAAACTGCATTCTGGAAGAACTCTCGGTGCACGAGCTTCCCCGACTAAATAATCCACATCCCAATAAAAAAATAATGCGCAAAATCCCCCAAAAGACCACCACCAGCAAACATCCCCCCACCACTCGAAAAAACAACAAAACAAAGCAAACAAACACCCAATTAACCAACCAATAAAATCGGCACGTCATGTTTATTGTGACGTCGTTATAATAGATTTCACGTCACAATAATTTATTATTATTTCCTCTTTCATATCACTACAGGTTCGGGACAGTGGTCGCTTAGGGCTAGCTCCCGGATCTATTCACTTGATCTGATATACGTTTGTTGTTTCAGGTGTGTATATTATGTCAAGTCTGTAGG